CGCCATCGGATTTTCCTGTTTGGGCTGCTGCTGCTGCTGCCGTTACTGCCGCTGCTGTTGTGTGCGTCGCATATTTTGGTTCGCGACGGAAAAGCTTAGCCGGCGCCAGCAACAGCTGTTCTTTGTTTATGTTGCCTGAATTTTTCATTGACCGTTGCACATTTCGCTTGCCTCAGCAACATTTGACATGCTGCTGAAGCACTTGGCAGCACTTGATCATTGTTGATGCAACAAGCTGCTGGCACTGCATTGTTGACGTTAGCTAACACACCTATTAAGAATTTCGAGTGCTCGGCTAATATTTGTAACAGTTTAGTTTTAATTTGTTTCAACTTTCAATTCGTGATTAAAAATATTACTAGTGTTTTAAGAAAGACGTTTATAAGTTGTTAAAATTTATTTACGCATCAACAATTATTTTTATGGTTAAATGTTAGTTCGCAGCAAAATTTTAGTTCAGTAGAAATAATTAAATTAATAGAAAACACACTTTTATTTCATATAATATTTAGAATATAAGATTTAATTGATATTCTTGAGGATGATGAATGCTGAAGTACTTATATTTATCGCTAAAATTGTATATTTATTCGAAGCTTGTTTTAACAATTAATTGAGTTTTTTTAATAATTGGTTTACTCCCCAATTCTATAGGGCCTTTTCAAAGCATGTAAAAGTATGCTACAGAATTAGGTTGTGGCTGTTGAAAAACGTGAAGTATTATTTGTCCTTGTCTGAACTGTCTCATTCACACCGCAAACAATTATACTTCTTCGTCTGCCTGCTTTAATTGATGCTTGCCTGGTAAGCGGCACAACGTGTGCTTGGGTTTTGGATAGGGCTGGTGCAGTTTCATTTAAATTGGGACCGATTTTCAAAGAGATGGCTGGCTCGTTAGACTGACAGTGGCATTAAAAGCAGGACCGATTTTTATGATACGTGCTAGAGATGTGCATTTTTGCGAAATGCAAAAATTTACCGTTCAATTTTCATCAAATTATTTCAAATATTAGATATTTGTATAGTAGGATATTTGTCGCAAAAAATTTACCGTTCAATTTTCATCAAATTATTTCAAATATTAGATATTTGTATAGTAGGATATTTGTCGCAATTCGCAGATTTTTTCTGTCGGTAACTGCATTATTTAGTTTCTCACAAATAAAACGATTTTAAATATATTTAATTCACTGCTGACCAATTCTATTTTCACTTTTCGGATAGATACAAATTATTTCTCCTTCACTTATAAGGGTGATCATCTACTAAAGCAATTTAATATTAAAATTACATCAAAATAGATAAAAATGAATTTAGGGATAAAACGAATGGAATTCAACTGAATGTGCGCCAGCCCTATACAAAGCGCAAGTGTGGCTTTTGTGGTGTACCCGGAGTACATCAGATATAGCAAGCACATAAAAAGCCAGCAACTTCCAGTCTATAAATAGAGGTAAAATAGGGAGTAAAAGAGACACACAGACACGCAGCGACTGGTCTGTTTTATCTACTGTTGTTCGTTTAGAGTTGCATATTATTAGCTGTTGGCTAATAAATGGGGCGCAAACCCTAAAAGTAAACAATAAAAACTAAAACATTTCAGTTGAAAGAATTACGGAAATATCCGATATCCTTAAACTTCCTCTTATTGCGATCATCTTATATAACAAAACAGATGTTTGTTAGGTCTATTATTGTTGCTAATTAAATTTCGCCTTATTTAATGTTTTGTAGGAAGCTTAGTTAGGCCATCTTAGCTTTTAAATTTATATTTTGTCAATAAAAAAAAGATAAACAAAATTAATTTGATTGTCTTAAACGTAAGGCTAAGCAATGTTTATAAGCTAATTGTAGTTGTGCTGCAGAAAGCTGACAATTGCAACATGTTGCCTTACCTATAAAAAAGCTTTCTACACACAAGACATTGTTAGAACTGAGCTTTCTTATCATTCGTAAAAAGTTTCACGAAATGTATGCCACGAAGTGGAGTTTAGGAGCGGTTAAACACAACTTCATGTCCTTTTGCGTTTAAACACGTTTAGCTAAAATCAAATGTAAGTAAAAACAAGAATTTTCGAAACAACTTATTCCCAAAAATTAGGCACGTGTATGAAAATATGTCTCTAACATAAAAAGTGCCTCAAACAATTTTTAGTTGACATTAAATGAAACAATTCAATAAATTACTCAACTTAAACTTGACCATGCCGATTAATAAGACAAATTATTGTTTCGCATGCCAACTGATTTTATTTATTACACAAATGTTATGGAAACTTGTCATGTTTGGCTATCGTCCAGAAATTTTAAAAATCGTACATTTATATTTTACAAATTTATTTGATGGGCAATTTTTCTTGTTCTCCGAACATATTTTTGTAGTGCATTTATTTGTTCTTCGTAGTGCGTAGTGCGGGCTTTTGACGTAAATCTTTTGTCCCCATTAGCGAATCGCGCACATTTAGGAAACCAATTTTTTTTCAAATATTTCCATTACCAATTTCCATGCACTATGTTTTTGTGATGTCTATGCTGTGTTTGGTAGTCAATCAATAAACATTTGTTTGACTTGAAACATTTTGTTTTGGTTTCTGAAATTTCAACGCCTTTTTCTGAAATCATACGACACACTTTTCGTTGCTAAAATATATGGCTATCTCTTAATGCTATATAGTACATGAAGGTACTTAGCTGCAGTTCTTAAAACTGTACACTTTTTTGGTAAAATTTATAATCAATTAATGCATAAAAATCTAGTTATTCCCTCTACAAAATTAGGAGCAACATATGTATAACTTATTATAAAGCAGTCGATTGAAGGGTATTTTCAATTTATAAAGTTATTTTCATGCAAAGGTTTTTCTCTTTTAAAATTAACTCAATTAACAAATATATATATCTGCTTGGAGGTAGGTACTAGCAAGCATAAATAACTAGCCAGCTAAAATTTATTTGATGCATCTATTTAGTCTACAAGTATTTAGGCAATAAGCCAGCACACAATCTTAACAAACACAAACAAATAAGTTAAGAAAGGAGAACCACAACTGAAGTGGTAAGGCAGCTGCCATCATCAATTGTTGGTCTTGACAAATTCACATCAAGGCAATAAATCCATGCAACCACAAAATGGTCAAATGCAGCATAGAGGCCAGTCAACAGCAGGCGAACAGTCGGCCAAGCAGACATAATCATAAGTTTTCAAAGCGTACACTGTCGACGGCATCTCTTGGCTGGCCTTTACTTATGCTTCCATAAACACTCGTATACCCTCGTATGTACATATTACATATTTGCGGCTCTCATTACAGAAACAAAACACCACACACTTGAACCCTTGTGATGTTTTGTGTGTGTTTGACAATGCTTACAACTATAGTGTGTGCAACAGCTTGCTTAAATGTACTCCCTGTATTTGACAATGAGCTCGCTTTAAAGTTGCCATGTAATACACGTCGTATGAGCAATTTGCATAATGAGCACAATATGAGGACACGTTGTGGCCAATGCCACTTCTTTTTCCTTTGGCTTCAAGGCATATACATACGCACATGTCCTTTTTGAACCGCTGTCCCATAAACGACTAGCCCACAGAAATTCTGTCAATAGATGTTATTATGGATAAGAATGCAGTTTTCTGATACATTGATGATTTTGAGCCTTTGACTGGCTATCATTGATCGAGCTCAACAATATTCAGCACGTACCGAATTTGAATAATAATCCATTTCCACTGGCATCCTACTCGGTTCCTCCACAATTGGGGTAAAATGGTAATCGAAATTGTTCTTGGGTCAATAGCATCTTCCACTTTGGATGAAATTCATTCTAAATTACTAGTCGTTTTTAAAGAGCGAAAGGGTATACTGAGAATTGTAAGAATTGTATATTACATTACAGAGAAATTTCGAGCCATAATTGTATATAGTATTGACCTATAAGTAGCATCAACTCATGGGTTTTTGCTAAACATGTCCCCGCTTTTGTTAAATATTTGAATTTAAATCTAACTTAGTAGATAAGGTCTTATAACATGCACTCTTTATTGCTAACTAATAATGGAAATACACTAATTTATGAGCAAATTTTTGGTGTGTAAATAAAAAAAAAAGTAATCAAGAAACAAGCTGAAGATTACTGAATAATTACTCGATTAAAAAGGGATATCCACCATCAAAGCAGATGATCATTTGCAATTTTTCTGCAATTTCTAAAGTTTATATATATTAAAAACTATTATTTGGAATCTTAGAATACATATGTATCAGAAAATATGAAATGATTATAATGTTGGTGAAGCGGAAAGGGACAAACATTTAATTCAGCAATGAAAAGAAAAGGGCAACCTTAAACTAGAAGCATTATAATTTGTTCAGCTCCTTCTAGCTGGTTTTTAGTTCTTTCTAACACTCAAGAATTGGCAACATGTTTATAATTTGGCAATATAAATAACATAACCAATTACTTTCATAATCAATTACTTTAATTTGTTAGTGGAGATAAGTGAGCCAGTTTAATACTTTTACTTAATACTCCCTTTTATGAATAGAATAATTGGAATCTTCGCATTTATTAATAACACAATTCTATTTTTTTCAGACATCCGCTATGATGTGACAATTTTCCTCTGAGCCGAAAGTAATAATTTGTTTACTCTTTCAAGGCTATTGCTGTTTTGGAGCCAGACAACAATGCCATCCATAAACTTCCACTTGCTTCAACAACCTCAAGTTACAAGTTTCTTGGTATCCTGAGAGCTTCAAAGTAATATACCGTTGTCAAAGAGTTTGCAACTTGAGGATAACTTCAGTTAATAATAGATTAGATTATAAATACCTCTCCTTGTTAACCGAAAAGACAACAAAAAGATAAGTCTTACTAATTATAAGTGATTTAACTCAATGTCCAACAAATGTGCAAAAAATGAGTAGGCAAGGTCATTTTTGTTCCGTCTTTGTCACAGTTTCCAGAAAGCTATTTCCAGTCACACAGCATTCAAATAACACAATAAAACAAATTTTATATATTTTAACATTTCAGTGTATAATTTACACAGTTAAGACGCGAACTGTAGTCCCCGGATTAGTATTGTATATATGCCAACGGTGTTAGATAGGAATCTGGCATTCTGGTGAGTATTTGAAGCATCGGGTATAACGTTTAGATAAGGTTCTGGTGAGGATGGTTCGTCAGAACCGTCGCAAGGGAATTGAGGAGGTCTATGGCACAAAACTAGATGCCATACACCCAGCCAAGTCGCAGGCCCTCACGCACACAACCACCAAGACGGCAACAATGCGAGCCGAGCGTGCCATTGGAGGCGTCTCCAATCGGAATGAATCGCGAACACAGCGCAGCTATGTGACGCCCAATGACTATTACATTACAACCAATCTGCCGCTAACGGCGACCAATATGCGGGCGGCATCCAGTTCAATGGCAACCCAAGCACAGAGCTCCATGGGCACGGCAACAACAGCTCCATACATGTCCATGACTCGACGAGGGGCGGTTGTGGGAGGCGGGAAGGTCAGCGCGCGCCAAATACCACAGACCAAGTCGCTGTTTACGCGCAATGAGAGCAAGACGGCCAACAATGCCTACAATCTGACAATGTCCAAATCGAAGGAGCTCCACAGCCACATGCATAACAAGCCGATGGCGCAACGCGTGGTTTACGCAAACACCAACACGGGCACCAACACCTGCACCGACTACTCGGACAAGGAGCTGGTGGTGCCCGCACACACACGTCGTAACCACCAACACCCCCAAGCCCAACCACTCCAGCATCAGTTGCACCAGCAGCAACAATCGCAATACGCGCATGGACATGCCCATCACAAGGGTCATCAGCACCCGCACCAGCACCAGCATCAGCACCAACATTCCCATGAGGGGCCACGCACCGTGCAGGTGAGTCAGGCGGACAATGAGGTGAGGGAGGATAAAGACGATGATCCCGAGGAGTTTTTTGAACTGATCCGTCAGACCGTGCAGACGGCCATAGGTGTAAGAGATCCAGCAGCTAACCGCCCCCCTCCCTCAATCTCATCTTTCTAATCCAATGCTTCTCTTCCCAGAGCACAGTGTCCGACGTCCTCTGTCGCAACTTTCGCGATTTGGGCATGAAAATGGATCGCATCTCGAGCGAACTGAAACTTACCAACGATCATCTGGACAAACTGGAAGAGCACGTCACAAACAGTAAGTCCTGCAGAAATCTCTTTATCGAGCCCTACATCCAAAATGAACCCAACCCTGCAGAGGTCGTCCATTACGGTGAGGAGAATTCCCGACACTTCCGCTACCTGTGCATGAAGTCCGAATACGACAAGATGTTCTACCAGCACCACGCCATGCTGACCAGCAAACCGACTGCCGACGACGCTACCACCTCACAGGCCAATGAGGGCGGCAACAACAATAAAGGTGGTACCGGGTACAATATGAAGAATGCCGCAAAGTACTTGAGGCAGCAGATGTTGGGAGATCGCGAGCGTCGCAGCAAGCCCAACCACAGTAGCAACAACAATTCCAAGAACGAACTTAACGATTGCGTCAAAGTGCAGAATCCTTGTGCTTGCCGCAGCACTTCTAAAGCTCAGCACCAGACAACTGAACCACACAAGTCATCGTCGGGTCAAAGCGTTGGCATCAAATCCTCAGAAATGGACATGCGTGAAGTGCTGGGACACATACAACGCTTTTGCACGAAGATTCAACTGAATGATCTGAAAGTGGATCAAGGCCAATACAGTACCAAGGAGCTCCTATCGAATCTGGAAGGGATCATGGGTTCAGGCGCGAATGTGACTAACGCAGCTAATGGCGTCCAGCCGATGACTGTGGGCGGCCCAGCCAAGGCACGTGGCTCGGCGGCTGGGAAGCAGGATCTGGACACCACCCCTGCCGACAGCATGGATGAGGGAGCATACACTGAGCTTGATGACTTCCAATTCAGCTCCGATGAAATGTCGCCTCGCAGCGATGACAGTGACTTGAAGTTCCCGAGCGGTGGAATGACAGCGCGTGCCGCCCGCAAGCCCGCCAAGCGGCTGACAAACAAAGGCGCTGGCGATGGACAGTAGACGTGACACAAATTGTTTAAAACCTTGAAGAGCCACATACTGCAAGTTTTCCTGGGACACCCAAAGCTGTTACGTTCATTTTGATATTTTTTGGATTCCCCCAAATTTCTGGTTCTCGTTCTCAATACTTCATTTGGCAGAGCACAAGTATTCGAGAGCAGCTCAGCCCTTAGCAGGTGTTGGGCATCAACACATTAGGCGACAAAAAGAAAAACAATAACCACCAATAACACATATGCAGACAAATTAGGTTTATGTATTAATCTGTTTGTCTCAGGAAAACGCAGAAGAATCAAATCAAATACATACACAGACAAAGTTACAATTTTCGACTTTTATTTAGTTAGTTTTCCAATTTGTTAATATCGTTTACAAGAAAGTTATATCACATGACTTCTTCAAAAACATCTGATCTCAAAAACTGGGATGAAATCATTGAAGAGATGCACGAAAGACCTCCAATTTGCTGAGGCCATAGGTGTACCTAACGAAAAGGCAGTTGTTATTTTAGAAGAACTAAAAATTACACAATATTCGCCGTAGTGGCTTTCTACGATACATTGCTGTTCTCGTGAAATTATACCCCGGTAGAAAGAAGTTCTACTCTAAGAAGAAGTTATGAGCAGCGTCTTTTGACGATTTTTGTACGAAATGAAGAATAAAGACCTGGCAGGAAAATTGGGAAAATTTTACCATATTTACTCGCGCACTTTTTTTTTCTGTTAGCCAACACCGCTTCATGTATTTCTTGGACATTTTCCTGTGTAACCGCATCGGAGGGCCTGCCACTGCGCACTTCATCGGTAGTGGAGTTTCGGAAAGAAACCAATATTTCACAGTTTAATCTGAAGGAGCATTAGCCCCATTATATTTATCCAACTTTCATTTAGTTTCCTTCGCTGTTTTGCGTCTCAAAAAATAATGTTGTATGAGAGAACGAAAATCGGTTTTTTCCATGTTCAACATGATGCCAAACAGGTCAACAACTATCAGCTATAAAAAAAACTAAGGGCTATATCGCGCTGAATTTCAAAATGGCTACCTAAATATGAATGGACTACAATCATTTTTGCGATAACAGCACATCCTGGTGGTCAAAGAGGTTACATTTCAACCCACCCAGTATATGTCTGATCTAGACTTATTGCAAAAACGAGAACAACTTGGATTTTTTTTTTAAACTACTTGTTGATCGGCTTAAATACCCATATGTAATATGAATAGTGCAATATCAGAAATATTGGAATGTGTACGGCTACTCCGTCTGCTGCAGCCTGCATGCGACACATTTAAGCCATTAGACTAGTAGCCGCCTAGTAGTAGAATCCTTCTCAGCCAACCTACTTTTACCAGTGACCTGCATATACGCTAATTTTATGATTGTACAAATATTTGTATAGCTTCTAAATTGGCAGTAAGACATGCTTAGGTTAAACAAAATGTCGACTCTGTGCCCGACGCTGGCGAACCAATATATTTATAACAAATACGAAGTACTTAATTCACCTTACTTACTTACGGAATATGTCAAAAAAGCGCCTATATTTGATGCTTGCAGAATATCTGGCGCCGTTTTCGGACATGCCTTTACACTAATGTTCCTTTCACAATTTTTAGTAAAACCGCTTTTGGTTGATAAGGTATTGCGGCCTTGGGTAAGGAAATAGGATTAACAAACCCAACTTTAAGCCAACTAGGTGTACATGAGTGGAGCCACATCTCCAATATTACAACGGCTTCGAACAGAACACAGATTGATATAAAGAGCTGAACATTTCGGAAATAAAGGTTTCACATAAAAGTTCCCACAAGAAATATAAATAGGTAATTATGTAATGTTAACTAATACATGGAATTTGTATGTACGTAGGTATGTATGTATGTATGTCTATGTACGTATGAAGGCATAACAATAAAAATAAAATTGTAGTCGACCAACCCCCGACCCAGCCGTAGCCCGAAGCGGTTGCATTTTTATGGGCTTACGGCTCAGAGCGGCCCAAAGCAATACAACAGTTGACGCGTGCACGTTGCAAAGACCTGTCCCAGTGAAGATAGCGCATCGGTTTGTGCTCCGAGTGTGTCTGTGTGTTTCTCTCTCTGTGTGTGTGTGTGTGTGGCCCATTAAAGTGCAAACTATTTGAATACTGAAATTCCGGTCCTGGCTGGTCAGTTCTGGTAGTTGTCAAAAGATTAATATTGGAAAATAAATTGAAAATTTTCAATGCACTTTCGTCCAAATGTAAGCTGCCGTGAGGAATGGGGAGGAAAGCATGACCAAAAATATCCACATCGGCTCCTAAATGGTCCTGTAATTAAACCGAACACTCGTCCATCCGACTATTTCGCACTCCAGTGCGGCAGTTGATGAAATCAGATTGACGTTGCGTTTTAAATTGGTGGCTGAACTAAACTTATGTAATCTAGTTAGTCTGTCTAGAGGAAAGTCAGTTAGTTTGTGACATTAATTAAAATTGTTACATCTGCACTCTGTGAAAAATAAAACCCGGAAAACTGCAACGCTTTCCCTCTGGCCTTTGCCCGTCCATTTGGAGGCATAGTCAATGAAAATTTGTTTTGCATTCTCGCCGCTTATTTGCACGTTTGTTATACAAACGCATTTTGTTGTTGCCATGACGGCGACTATTGCCAGCACTTGGACACACATACATACATATATGTATGTATACTCGTATATGGGTCCGTATTCCAATTAGCCTCGATTACCATCGCCTGTGTTTGTAACCCGAAACTTAAGCCCCATTCAATACTCCGAAGCAGTTATGCGAGTAATTAGGATGACCAATATTTGGCTCGAAACAGTGGCGACACAAGCACCAAAACGCTAAAAAGTGGTTGCGCGTAAATACAAAAAATTACTATTTTACCACTCGGGCCCAAACATAAAGTTTTGAGTGACAATTCCGTTGAGTGCATTTCCATAACAACCACTCGCCCCGCCTAGCACGTCAAAACAAAAACGGAACAGGTGCAAAGAAATCCGCATACGCCTATTAATGTAGCTACATACATACATACATACATACATACATACATACATATATAGTATATATTATGTATGTATGCAGTCTAATGGCATAGTATGCGCACAGTGGTCGAAATGATTGAATCCACAGGCAAAAGCGCACACTTATCCACACTCTTCCGAGCAATAATTTATCAAATAAATGCTGCAGTGAAAAATTTATAGTTATACTCTGGAATGTATGCTCTGGAATGTATGTATGTAACATCCAGAAGGATACTATATATACAAGTATATTCTTGACTATTATGACGATTTAGTCGATATAGCCATGGCCATCTGAACCTTGGAAAGTATAACAGTTAGACTGACGAATTCTTGTTCGTCTAAGCCCTAAGCAACACATTCATAAATTCATAGAACTTTTAACCAATTTTCGGAATTGTATTAATTAAATTTGCAACTCTTTTGTGTTTCAACAAGAACAGGTGTTTTGAACCTTGGAAACCTGTATTTCATTACTTTTTTAAATAAAGTAGTATGTCTGAGAAATTGGCTCCGGTGGAGACATTCATAAAGAAGTTGTACACTCGTGTGCTTCAATCGAAAATGAAAAAGTCGCTGTAAAAGAACCATGTTAGCCAGAAGTCACTGTATTTGTTCATTTCACAGATTTTTGCAGTTAACCTAATTCTGTTTTTACGCTGTTTTGATTAAACACGGTTTGAAAATTAAAAATGTTATATACACGACATTATTCCATTTAGCATGATTTAAAAAACATATGATCAATCTCTTTTTTTACACGGTTTTTGTTTTGAAACACGACTTTTTCTGGAACCAATCTACCGTGCAAAAACAAAATTAGGTGTGTTTGCTTCTGAAATTGCTGTAAATTATTATTTAGCAAATAAATGATTATAAATTTTGTTTTTAGACATTATAATGTTAGGGATAGGTAGGTTTTAGGTTTATGCAAGCTGTTTTCAAAACCTCTTTATTGATTTATGTAAATTTAAAGAAGCTGTGTTCTTCAAACATATCCTATGTCTCGTTACAAATGTGTAAAAATGTACTAAATTGTTTAGTATTGCTTACCACTATGTAAATTTTAATGTTGAATCGTATAGTATGTGTGCGGATCACATGAAACAGACAGACAGACAGATTATAATTTGGATAACAAATAAACTTCACAAATAATATTGCCTCACTTCGTCATATTTCTTCTGCGAATAATGACAAGTGAGAAGTTATGAACAAATTCAGTAAGCTATCGGTAATCGATAAAAAAAAAATAACGGACTTGCACATCAAAATTGAGAATTGTGACCACTGTGCAGCGTGCCAGTGTAACAGCACTAATAAGAAAACCGATACGCGAACTAAAACTACAACTGTTAGTACATGATTTCATTGTTAACAATATATTGGTATATATCAGCTATAGCGGCCGAGACGCGGCCACATTTCGATTGCTGCACCCGCGCCGACTGCGCCGCACCTGGATGCAGATTAGTTGTTATTGTTGTTGTTGTGCCCAACTCGACGAGTGCTTGACACACCGGTAATTTAATTGATTGCTAAAAACAACATAAATTTGTTTGTTGGCCAAACGAATACGAGTATACATATGTATGTATGTTGGCCAAACGGACGCACTTCAGTGGCCAAATATAAAGCAACGTGCAGAGTTAAATTGACCCTAAAATCGGTGAAGCGTTCGGCTTATGTTTCATGACAGCAACCAGTATAAATATTATGTACTTCGAATAAAAATAGGCAAAAGCCTCCTATTTCAAATAATGTTATTTGAAAGAATAGAACCGGACCACGTAATAATTTCCGCACAAAAACCTATTGATTTTTGGTTTACACCTAATGCGATCAACTTAGTGGCGCATCACAAGTGCTATATGAAATAGACATGTATGTATGTACATACATATATACAAAAAAACATAATTTGCGCGTTACTTCCATGGAGGAGGTAGGGGGCGGAGAGGCAAAAAGTGTATAGCCCGCGTGCGTTTGTTAGTGTCCGGTACTGTGTTAGTGTGACAATTTGTAATGCGATTAAAGTGCATCACACTCGTCGGCAAAACCAAAGCAAGCTGCAACTCAAAGGCAAATGCTGAATGAACCACCGCACTGGGAACATTGCTGAAACTTGGGAAAAGTGAAATTCCAGTTGAATACACAAAATTGTAGCTGCGACTTTGTATTGATTTCGCCCTCATTTGTCATGTAATTTATTTCATTCGCAGCTCAAGACTTTTACAAATACTTATAGTATGCATTCGATGGAACAATAACTTACTCAAAAGTGTCAATAAAATCGAATAATACGTCATGATTTGGATGAATTGCGCGCATAAGCCGCCAAAATCGGGTGAGTTTCAAAGGCAGAACATACAAGTAGCATAAATAATAATAGCTTTGAACTTCAAACTCCTGCTGCTAAATTTAAATATGGCACTAAAAACTCAATTCGGAACAGCCCGAAATACCATTAAAATTTACCACTATTTAAAAAAACTGCTAGGTAATAACAAGTGTTCTTTTTATAAAATAATGAACAAATCAGGAAATTATATCTCAAAAATAGAAAATATTTTCTGAAATAGAAATGTACACTGTCATGTCTTCAATTACCGCCAGAAGCTTTTAATTTCTTAAATCCATACCCCATAATGGAGTCATCTCTTACTAATTTGTAATGAGGGCTAAAGTCTCAAATTTACATAAGAAAAGGTTTCTCCATAATACAAAATATATATTTTCTTGAACATTTTATAAAATTTCTCTTTTGTTTTCTTAAACAAAAATATCAAATTGGTTTGAATAATTAGCTTGATGATATATCTTTGATAATTTTAATTATATCAAATTAATATGAGAAATATTAAGTAAGCTTAATACGTAAGTCTGTAATTGTTGTAATCTAATCATAGTCATTAAGATTATTTTTATACCTTGTACCCGTAGGGTAAAAAGGGTATATTAGGCTTGTGCAAAGTAAGTAACATGTAGAAGGAAGCATCTCCGACCCCATAAAGTATATATATTCTGAATCAGCATTCTCCTATGTCCGAGAAAGGAAGAGTTTTTTTTTTTTTTTTTTTTTTTGGATTGCATTAAATAACTGGGCAGAACATCTAGAAGAGCGCATTATATGGAGAAATCTTCTCCCCACTTCTTAAAAATGAAAAAATTTGTGGAATAGTACTTGTATGTTCCTTCAAAATGGGTTGGAAGGTTGGAATTGATAGTATTATTGTATTATACTTACATAGGTACAAAACTGATATACCGGATAGTAATCATTTTTCTTTCCGAGCCCTCTCAATTGAACCAGATTTATAATCTCCATTTCTTTTTTATATACGAGTTTTCAAAAAGGTCGTGGGACAAGGGCGTAGACCAAAATGTTGTTGAACTAAAAACAAAGATCAGCGTTTCAACGAACATTACTTTTACTATAAATTCCTAGAAATGCCATTGAGCTTCTTCAAAATATGAATTCATTCGACCAAAAATTTGGAATACAGTTAGGTTATAATAATTTGTTTTGCTTAAGTTGATGAAGTGATGACAAAAATCGTCAATTAATTAAAATTTAATTTTTCTAATCAACCACTAAGCCCATTTTTTACAGATAAGCAGTTCTTACAAAGCTGAGTGCCATGCTCAACTTTTATAATATGTATATGTACATAGTTTTACCATTATGCTTCCTAAATATTGTTTATTTTAAGTTATATAAATATTTAAATGTCACTCCGGAAAAAGATGCCTTTTTATTATTTACTTTATACATTTTTTGGGAAGTATATACAGTAAATTGTTTTTAAACAATTTTTCTAATTGTCAAGAATAGGGGAAATAGCAATAGTGTATCGAAATCTAAACGAATCTAGTCGTAATCTATGATCAAATTTTTCAGAACCGCTCCAGGAAAAACTATCACATACACTAATGAATTTTATTGCTCATTAACAAAAGAAAGAATGGCATAATTTTCATATATTCTTATATTGTATTGTACTTTCGTAAATTGTTGGCTTTTGAAAAGGACAGGCAATTGCGAAGAGTTTCTAGGGTCTTGCATCACATACTCGTACATTCCAAATAATCTCCTTTAGCAGCCTTTGGCTCACATTAATAAATTATGTGATCGTTTTTCAAACCTTTGTCTATTATTTGCAGTCCTTCATTATCTGCTCTTGACCCTACTTGCACTTCCCATATGCCATGCCGCCGATACGGCACCGACGAAAAAAACTACATTGCCGCGCATAACGAAGCCGCAGCCCACAGTCATGCTTAGCAACTCCCGAAGAGAAGTGGCGGGGACTTCTACGACAACAGCTCCAACTAGTGATAGTACCATCGAATCATCCTCAAGTACAATTCAATTGGCGCCTTTAATATCATCGACGACTGAGGCTATTCCCACCGCCGACGGAAGCAACACGAGCAGCGGGAGCTTAGTTCCCGACATTTGCATCAATGGCCTCCAGGTGACCGTAACCAATGTGGACGAGGAGAAGATTCTACGCCAGCAGCACGAGTTCATGCATATAATCGAGGGCGATGTGATGTTGAGCGTCCTTACCACAGATCCTGCATCGGCACTGTTCGTTATCAATCGAGTGAATCAAGCAAATCTTATCGCAGCCGACTTCGAAATAGGTAAGCTTTAATCTCTTGAAAAGATTAAATCAAATATAATTCTGTTGTTTCGTATGGTTCTAGGACTGCGCGCTATTGAGATCGACAACGAAAATCTGGCCGAGAATCTGCTTATACAAGAGGTGCAATTTCTGCAGCAGTGTACCCGACATGCTTTGGGAATATTTGTAGACTTTGATCTGTACAAGCGGATGGAGGATATTATTAAGGAGCTGGAGTACAACATCTGGCCTATACCGTCCACGCGTGCCCTCCTCTTCCCCAAAGTGGCTCATTTACTCCACCAAATGCCATGGGGTGAGAAGATCGCTTCCGTTGAAATACTCACCGAGAATTTGGAGATATACAATGACTTCATGGAGGCAGTCCGACACGAGCATATGTGTCTGATGCACTTCAAGAGCGAAGAAAATATATACATATTTATTGGCAACAAGTTGGCCAATCAATTTATTGAGAACGGCACGATATTTGCGGTGCCAACGGAGCGAACGGATCGTGATTTCGTGGCAGGTAAGTTGAGGGAATTTCTCTGAAATACTAATAGACTTATAAGCCTGCTCTTCAACACAGAACTGCCCAACAAATCGTTCATACTGATGGAGAATGAAATAGAGCTGCGCACCATCGATCTGGACCCTACACCCACGTCTCTTGATGAGGCCCTAATCGGAAAAGTTGTCTTTCCGGCACGCGTACTGTCCTTTGCCAGTCCCGTCGTCGGTCTCATGAGCTGGTTACGCAGTTCCCTAGCGAAGCACTGCAAGCGAGATGATGACCTCTATGTCTTTGAGAGTTGTTTTAATTTCCTCAACTTTATCGAAGACTGGCGCAGCTCAGACTATCGCCAGACACACGAAGTCGGGGAGCTGCTAGCTCTGCTTAGAATGCGTAAACTGGCCAACTCAATGAACTTTCAAATGTATCAGAAGAAGGTGGAGACCGTCGATGTTATTACGGGCGAGACGCGCATGGACCTGCGAGAGATAGCAGCCCAGAATTTTGTCACAAATGTGACCACCTACTACCACTATAACCGCGACAATCACACCAGCCTGGAGCTGAAGACCAAATTCGGCCAAGTGTTCAATTGTCAGTACAGTGCGGGCGATAATAGACGGCACCCCTTTCTGTTCGACGGCGAATCGGTTATGTTCTGGCGTATAAAGTTGGACACCTGGGTGGCAACGGGCATGACGGCCGCCATTTTGGGCGTCATTGCAACGCTGGCCATTCTGGTATTCATTGTTGTACGCATCTCCCTTGGCGATGTTTTCGAGGGCAACCCCGTGACGTCCATTTTGCTCCTCCTCTCCCTCATACTCGTGTTCTGCTCCTTTGTGCCCTTCTCTATGGAATATGTGGGGGAGCACCTTAACTCGCATGTGACCTTCGAGGATGCCCAAAGGCTGAACACATTGTGCGCCGTTCGAGTTTTTTGCATGACATGCATCTACTGTTTCGTCTTTTCATTGCTGCTGTGCCGTGCCGTAATGCTCGCCTCCATCGGCTCCGAGGGCGGATTTCTGTCACACGTCAATGGCTATATTCAGACGGTCATCTGTATTTTCAGTGTCTGCGTCCAGCTGGGAATGTCCATTCAATTGCTTGTTGTGATGCAAGTGGCCTCAGAGAGCGTGTCCTGCGAGAGCATCTACTACGGACATTGGCTTTGGGGTCTTCTCGCCTACGACTTCATTTTACTATGCTGCGTGATTAGCCTAGTACCCTTCATTTACCGCTCACAGCGCAACTATCGCGAGGGCATTTTAATTGTCATCGGAGCAGTCCTCATAGTGATTATCTGGCTGGTGTGGTTTACGCTGTCCCTGTTCGGCGATGAATGGCGGGACGCAGCAATACCTTTAGGTCTCCAGGCCACGGGCTGGGCTGTGTTGGTGGGTATTCTCATACCGCGCACATTCCTCATTGTGCGTGGCATTGAGCGCTCGGATATTGCGCAGGCCTTGCCTTCGCTGACCTCCCTGGCTTTTGCACAGAACAATCAATACGCCTCGGAGCAGGTAAGTGATCTTCTAAAAGCTGATACATATGTATGTTAACCCATGATATGCTTGATAGAGTGTCTATGAATGCGTGAATCCTGCCATGCGTCACTGCTCCCAGGAGGAAATGCATCAGTCCCCCAGCGAAATTCCAACACTACCTCTACGCGGAGGAGGGCCTCGGCGACAGCAATTCTTCGCCAATCTTCGACAGGCCAATGCAAATATAAATCCACAGCGGCCACCACCACGTCCGCAGCGAAGTCCTTCCCATTCATCGGTCACATCGCTGCACTCACAGCCCTCCCCAGACAATAGCAAAATAACGCGCTTTTGAATGTTGCAATGACATCTACTTCCATCTTCATTCTAGTCAAAAAGCTCTAAGAACTTGAGGTATTCGTACACTACCGAACCAAATTTATGAAAATAATAATTGTGCAAACAAATCAAACGCCACTTAAGACTTATTCAATAAAGCTGAGAGTTTTAATTTCAACCATCGACTTTTATTTATGCTCGATTCCCATCAGAGGGTAGTCCGATACGTTATTAGACATAACAAAAAAGAAGTGGAGATAAAGAAAAGCAATAAAAGATAAAAGAAAATAAATTAAAATTTGAAACATTAAATAATAAAAGATAAATATATAATTATATGCTAAAGGTAAAGATTCACTGACCCTGACTAACACCAAATAGGGACAAACGTGCAGCTAACTCGAAAATTATTCTACCAAGTACAAACATCTTGGTCGAAAAATCTCGATTATAAACAGTTTCATTCCGTTCCGACTTGTTATGATATGCAGGACTTTTTTAAAACTGTCGTAGGATACATTTTCCTCTTTAATAGACACGAGCATAAAATCATCATAGGCAATTCAAAGGAAGTATGAATTAAAAATTGAACTAATTTATCAGCGGACCTATATTTTGGCTACTAATCATACATTTATTATGGTTTGAGAGCACACTAGGCAGTGAAAAGCTTTACAAAGCTCTTTAGCCTACCCACCTCCTAGCCAGGAAGCTCCTATCAAAAGGCAACACAAGTTTTACACAATAAATTACGCATTACGATGTTAAGCCTAGTATCACACATTCCCCAAAAATAATTTTGTGATAGAAGCATTTCCGTTTTTTGTTCGCTCGAAATTCGTACGCAACTTTTTCTAAGCTGAAATCGCTTTTGCCACAAAACATATTTATATTCACGCCTTCAGAATAACGGTTCCTTATGAACTTATTCTGTTTATTTTTTAATCATCTAAAAAGAGACGTGAATCGATCTTCAACTGTCTATCTGTCTGCATATAAGAACGTAGAGATCCTTACGTTCTCGTTATTTCTCGCTAGATCGTCCAAATCCATCGCGCGAAAGCTGACGTTTCAGTGGGTTCTTTAAAAAGAAACAAAGGAGCGTTTGGATATAATAAAAGGATAAGTTAGAAAAAAGATAAGAGGTTGAAAAATATTTTTAAGGTTAAAATAAAACAGTAAGATAATAAAATGTGTTTGAAAGCGAGGATCTTATTAGTATCGTAAACGTATCCAATATACATCTACTTACATCCACCCTTTCGAAGAAATCAGAATGAAAAAAATTATTCATTTATCCACTCTTTCGATATAATTATATATAAAATACTTACCTATAATTAAATATTATTATGGAAAGAAAAAAGAATATGTTACCGGCTGTACAAAAATCGAGCGACCTTGAGAATGTTTATACTGTCGTGAATAGACGCTCCTTTCAATACCGTCAAAGAGAAAATGTTGATTAGGGAGAGGGCCGGTCTTAAAAAAAAGACAACTATTGACAAGACGTCATCGTCTCCAAACGTCAAATAGCGAAACTTTCGGCGCAGTTTTCGTAAGGAGTAAAAGGGAAAAGGGGCTCCTTTGGCATTTCAACATAACATTGTGACGACATGACTGTTAGATCCATTATTAGTTTACGTACATGAGTGCGTCATTCCGTCAGTGCCAGCCTTTGGGTTGTAAAAGTTGGTTCCTCACTCATCCGCTTTTTTGCTACTCCAGATCTACGAGTGTGCTTCAATCTTTACAGCCGTAATACCACAAACCACATTAAAGTGCGTTCGTCATGCTGTAAAAAGAAAAATCAAAACCATCGCCTACGCTACCCTGCCGCTACCCTGCCTTTCCCATCCCCACCATAAAATTGTATCAAACCCGTTCGTTCGTTAATCAAATACGTAAGGAGAACTTCAGTCGTCGTTCAACTCGAACGATGATTTTACAACTAAAGTAGAGTAGGTGCTGGTGTAATGGGGTGCCCAGCACGAATGACAATCCCGAGGGGCGGGGCAGTTGGACGAACGAGAAGTGTAAAGCGAAGGAGTAAACAAAGAGCTTTTCATTCATCAAAGAACATCCAGGCTGAAGGAGTAGCTGGAACTGTAAGGAGGCAAGGCGGACGTATTTACATCTACATAGGTACATATGTATGTACAAGTATGTACTCGTATATGTATGTGGCTTGTTCTATTTTCGCGCTAGTGACGTTGCTACTTGTATTTTTGACCACATCAGCCATTGTTGAAACTTGACGAAACTGTAGTGAGTTAGAAAATTGAAATGTATTGGGGCTTGGGTTCATTCATGGAAGTTTGGTAAAGCTGTTTTCCTATTTTTAGCCGCTGAGTTCAATGTGTACAAACGTACACACACAAATATACGCACATACATATGTATGTACATATACGGATATATGTATATACCTGTGTGCACTTAAAATTTTAAAGTAATAATTAAATAATTATTTTGTTTTGAGGTTTTTGTTTAAATTTTAGAATCATAACTAATTAAGCCACGCGCTCAGATTTTTTCGCACGTCCCCCGCCTGCAGCATCCACTTTGCGCCTGCTCCCTCTCTCTGTCTCTCTCTCTCTCTCTCTTTCTCTGCTTTTTCCAGCCATCTGCAGTCAACAACAAATTAGCAACAGCTGTATGCTCTACTCATGGTATAAAGCTAGAAGAATGCGTTTCTTGATGCTCTCTTCTGCGTGACGTCACAATGTGACTATTTAATGTGTCCATATGAAATTCGACACGCAGCTGGGTTTGATTTCAAACTAATTTTACATTTTTAAACAGTAACAGTAAATATTGCGACCTCCCTCCCTCCCTGCTATGTGGCTTATGTTAAGCATCTTATGACGTTCCTGCCAGGGAGTTATTTATCGCCTTACCTTCTCTCTTTTTACCAACTGCTGTACACACAAAAGCTTTCGTTAAGTTATTTGGCAATCGTTTGGCAAGCTTGGTAAAACGCAATCCACATGCATGGCAGAAACATCCTTGACCAAAAAGGCTGCTCCTTAAGCTTTTCAGCAGTACGCGACGTACACTCACGACATTTAGACACGGCTGCGGCAGGTCTATTACAACAAAAACAACACACACACATACCATACAAAGAACACACAAGCACACTCAAAATCACACACACGTGAAATTTAAACTAAACTAATGATCCACAATTTTATGTAAATACATCAGAATATATTTGTATGTATATAAAAGTAAACGTGATATAATTAGTGATGCAAATTAGTGTGAATTGCGAGTGGAAAGTGTCTATAAGTTGAAAATTACACACATCCACATTCATTCACGTACACAAAGACAAACGTCATATGCCAGAGGCGTGCGTTTGGCAGGTTCGTGGCAGGGTCGTGCACATCCAGTAGTGAAAGGCAATTTGTGTATCCCATCCGATTCAATGAGCGGGGGTGGAGTGGAGTGGAGTGGTCGGAGTCGGAGTGAGTTGGACCGCTGAGCGCGGCAATCGACGACGCGCGCTTATTGCCACGACAATGACAACAATTACGTAGTATATGCATGTGTATATGTAGCATAGTGGCTACTACTACTACTTATGTATAATGACACATTAAATTAAATAAATTGTGTAAATTGAAAGGGTCGCCGCCGTTATAAGTTCTAAATATAACGCACCATAATTACAACAGGCCCTGAGAAGGCAGTCAGAGAGGGAGTGAATTATGCATGCACATTGATTTTTGGACGCGTCCTCGTTGAACGTCGTTACGAACGCAGAAGGGTGCACTTTCCATTTTCATTTTTCATACTGTTCCGGTCTGGTGTACGGGTGTGAATCGCATGTTATCAGCGGAACTTACGCCGTCGACGGCGTTGTTGAATGCGAATTATCAGCAGCATCAGCGTTCGAAAAAGACCCCAAATAGCATATCAAAAGGTAAGTCAACAGTGTGTTAGGTGTGTACACCTATATGTATATGTATGTATGTATGCATGTGGGTGTGTGTGTGGGTGTGTGTGCTGCGTTATATGGATATTGAATTGGATTCTATTTACGTACATATTGCACATACGCACCGTGCACAGCACTAAAAGAGGACTTGAGGATGGCTCGTGTTGCAGAACCCACACGAAATGCTTATCGTTAATGAGCGAACAAGACCATTACAAAACAAAACTAATAAAATACATTAGCAACACATTTATTACACTTATTAACAGCTGTTTTGCCGACTCGGACACATGCCACGTTTACAAGTATCAGGAAATAATGTTCGTATTTCTTGAATAGGTGCCACCTGTGCGCTCTGTCACAATTATTTTAACAAATTCCATTTTACCATAGAAACTCTAATTTGTGAGAAGGTGGCAACGCTTATAAGCAATGACTACGATTTGTCTTAATAAACGTAATCATATCAGCAAACGTCTTCAAAAAAGCAAACTTTGATATTAGACAGAAAAATTGCCATGCTCCATTTTCAATTTTAAAAGTTAATTGAGGTAATTTTCTTTTCTACTTAAATTGGCTTTAAAAAGCAAGCAAATAATTAAGACTAAAAATTGCATCGAGAGCAAACATTCATTGAAGGCTATGCCAGATAAAGTCACGCAAAAGAGCCCTTAATCATAGTTAAATTTCATGAGTAATTTAAGCTTTTGCCCTCTTACTACTATTGTACAGCCCATAATTTGAAATGAATTCCCACTTTGATGCCAGCACTAACCTAATATTTTTAATTCTCGTGTAGGCTGAAGTTTTTGCTTATATTCGTTTCTTGAATTGATTTCCCGTTATTGATTTCGGGCTAGCATAAACACGAAACATAACAGTAGACTTTCTCAGCTGGCTCCACAGCCAACAACCCTAGTGGGAGGCATTTATAGTTGTTTTTTCTGTTTTTTTAAGGAGCGTGTCTTTGTTGGGCGTAATCTGATTTCAATTATAATTGCATTTTCAGCTTCTGCAGCGATAATGCAATTTTATTCGCAATTTATATGTATAATGCCAGACTAGCAGCTGAACTAAAGATGTACACAATTGCTATTTTATAGCATTATAAAGTAGCACGCCTGTTTTCCTTTCGATTACTTTTCGTGCGAAGGATGTTACAAAACATCGCAGAAAGCAACAACCTTGAAGAAAATAAGTGTCTGTGAAAAAAGGCATTTATAAAGTGACTATTCAAAATACTTAAAATTTTTTTTAATTGGAGAAAGATACAACTATCGAATACGAATATTTGTTAAAATAAGTTTAAACTAACTAACGAATATTTGTTAAAATAAGTTTAAACTAATAATATTATATATACATTTCAACTAGCCTAAGCTGCCATATTAGTAGCAGAACACAGGTTTAATAAATTGTATATATGTAGATTTGTTTTTTTTTACAATTTATATGAAATTTATTAAACCAGTATTCTACTACCAATAAAGCAGCTTAAGAAAAAAAGAATAATATTATTAAACTGCCGGAGATAATGCATATAAAAGCTTAAATATTATAAAAACTGCTTCGTAACTTTCGCCTAAATGGCAAAAATTTAAAAAATCGTGTTAGTAGTTTTTTTATACTATTATTTCTAAAGAATAAAGAAATAATTCCTTGATTTTAAATTAAGTGCAACTGAAATTAAGCGTACACAGCATACAGCATACTTTTTGGCAATAATTTGAAATCCCAACACGTTTTCGAAATCAAAAACGGAAACAGAACTGGATGAACACAGAAGTTATTTTAATTTATTGTTATAAGTTCTTAGTTACTAATGAAAAGTCCTTGCAATGGTAACCTTACTTACAGATGATAACTGCCCATTGCGTCACGAAACGCGTCCAACAACAGCAACCACAACAACTTATGATAAGAGTGTTTCGGCAACAGCAACAACAACCATAAGAACAAGCAAGCAAATGACCAAACAACTAACAACAACAACTGCAACAAATGCGGCGTCGAGTATAACACAAGCGGCAAATTTGGCGCCCACTGTTATATCGCCAACAGCGACAGCGACAACAACGACAGACACAGGAACGGCCACCACAACCACAGCCACAAACCCGACAACAAGTACAACGACAATTGTTGCCACAACGGCGACAAGAACAACAGCACCCGGCAGCGCCAACGACGCCAGTGGCCGGTCAGCTGCCTTAGAGCGTGCCTACGTTCATGACGTTTACGAACACTGTGAGGAGCCCACGGGACCAGTGCGGCCCCGAGTCGCTCAGTTTTTGAGTAACTTGGATCCCGGCTCGGTGGTCTGTGACGTCGGATGCGGCAGCGGTCGATACCTATTGACCCAAAATCCCTCCATCTGCACCATTGGAGTGGATCGCTGCTATCGTCTGAGCAATGTTGCCCACGAGAAGGGCGGCGAGGTGAGTTCAACTAGGAAGTTGGATTTTCAATTGCGTGCCAGCACATTTCCTTTAAATGTTTAATTGAATAGCAGACCGCATTAAATGGACATTGTAATAGACATGTCCTTGACATTTGTTTGTGAAATACTAACGCTTAGGTAACTGTAGGTTCTAGTGCATACAATTGTGGCACGTGAAAGTACCAATCAGTTTCGAGGACACGTATGCACCGAACAGATTGATAAGTATTTTTATTTATTAACTTGAAAGATATGTGTAGGAAATCGTATAATCTCTCCATTGTCAGTGCCCTGCTCTTAGCTCAACATAATAGGATGATCTAGGCTAACCCCTTCGCTATATCCACAAGAATACTAAAATAATATATATAACAGTTTGTCCTGACTGACTGACTGATTGGAAGTCAACTCACAGCCCAAACGGTATAAGCTAGGAAGCTGCAAGTTTCCTTTCACTGTGAAAGTGAGCACTAAAAAACTGTTTTGGAAATTTCGAATTCCAAATGGGGCAAAACGAGCTCGAACGGTTGTATGAAAAATCTACAATTTTCATCTGATTAACTTTAAACTTAGTTTGTACACTCTCAGAAAGAATAGAAAAAAAAACTGAGAAGCGGTTTTGGAAAATTCAAACGCCAAAGGAGAAATTTCACAATTTAAATCCACAAATTTATTATTTAATTTTTTTTTAATTTCACATTTTAATTCTCGATTTGCCAGTGCTTAGGTACTTGGTATGAGAATCGCAGAGGAGGGCACACACAATATTTTTATTTAATTTATCAGAAATTTCACCATTCAATTTCGCAATATTTTTATTTAATTTTTCAGAATTTTCACATTTTTTTCTCGATTTGCTAGCGCTTAAGTACTTGGTATGAGAATCGCAGAGGAGGGCACACACAATCTATGTTATGTGTACAAGTTCAAAATGGACACGTCTTAAAATTTATAGTTCCGTATGTGGTTCTATTATTCTTAATACTATTAAACAATTTGTGGGACCTCGTAATAGCCATACACTCTTTTGCTTAGTACCTAACCTATCAGAAATAAAACTTAATTGTGAAGCTAATACGTGAAATTAGTTTAAAAACCTTTAAAACCGTAAAATACTAATATGAGGAGAAAACTTTGTGTACAAATGCTGAGGGCATGAAGTGCACATAAACTTGAGTCTATAATATTTCTAGAGTGTAAGGTCTGAGTGTCCTTTGCACAATTTTAAAACAAGTGTTAAATTGTCCGTGCCAGAGTCTAAGCTAGTTATATACTCAGCTCCTGGCAATACCAAACTTATATTATTGCTTCAATATCATATTGGTGCTCGTTTGAACAATCATGCCATAAGACTTGCGTTCATTTCAAAAATAAAGAACAGTACAAAACTGATTCCACATCGACATTCTAATGCAAGTCGCCATTCCGCCCATGCTGCGAACCAATTTAACTTACTCCTCTAAGTAGACATGCCGTGCAATCCTAAAGTTTCTGCCGCAACTTTGACTTTTTTGCTCATACTTTGTAAGCACGGAGAATGTTTCATGTAAGTTAAGTTACGAGTATATAGTATACTTAAGTAAAGCGAATGCAGGTCAGGCGAGAACTCTAGACTACTTTGATATATTTTTAATATTAAGGCTAATTGCTTTTACTTGCACACAAACAATTATTGTAATTCTCATGCAACTTTAGCTTCAATTACATTACATCATAACAGCATTGATCCTTTTTTGAAATTTAATAAGTCTCTTCCTTCTTCCTCAAATACAAGTATTATCAAAGATATGATAATTAGGTTCGGAGGTTGGCATCTTTGCACGTCATTCATCTGCGTCAATAAATTAAAAAAGAGCTTTTCACCTTAGGCTTGCCAGTTCAAGGGTTTCACTTTTCTTTATCAATTGGCGCAAATAGAATCTATTTAGAGATTTTACTGATTTGCAACACTCGGCATCAAATTTCGTTTCTTGGCAATTGTTGGTGGATTCGTATTAAGAACTGTTGATTTATTTCTGTCCTTAGGTAGCGGTTTGTGACAATCTGGAGCTGCCTTTTCGCGATGAGTGCTTCGATGCAGTGCTCTCCCTGGCCGTTGTCCATCACTTTGCAACAACTGAGCGAAGATTGCGGGCTTTGCGGGAGCTGGCGCGTATTTTGCGCATTGGTGGACGCGTCGTGATTACGGTTTGGGCTCTGGAACAGCGCCATCGACGCTTTGAATCACAAGACGTGCTCATACCATGGCAACCACCAAAGAACCGGAACTACTCCTACTCCGACGACGAAGATGACGACGATTTTTTGCCGCCATATCATGCCTACACAGAGGACTCGACAAATTCAAGTCGCTCGGCTGGTGACGGCGACAGCTCCAGTCTATCTTCCTCGTCCCCAGGGGAATCATGTTACAGTTTTGTTCGACGCGCTATACAAGTGAGTCGGATAGTCAGATTATTATAGGTAGAGGCAAGACCTGACAATGCTCTTTGTTCTTTCTCGAAACAGAAACTGGCCGGCGGGCGAAGGCATGCCTGGTTTCTGGACTCGTGGACTTCGAAAGATACGAAAAACGACAGCAGCCTGGACTATGAGGACGCCAAAGACTTGCCCATAGAGCTACGACGCCTGGAGGACTTCGAGGACTTCCAAGAGCCACCGCTATCCGCGGGGCTTAAGTCCCGCAGCCTGGGAAGCATATTGCAGCCACCCCTGAGACAGATCGTACGCTCACGCTCCAGCGTCCCCAGCCTAGGACCGCTGCACTGCAGCTGCAGTGATGGAAAGGCTGCTAATTTTTTAGCAGCCCCCGAGTCCTCAGCGGGCCATTCACCCACACCAGGGGCCGGAGTTAGTGTGAGCGCGGGAAACACTCTAAGCCGCCGACCTAAACTGATTAAGCAGAAGCAGTCTCTGTGCGAAGAGGACAACAGTTTGTATATGCGGAGCGGCTGCTACACAGCCAACACCCATCAGAATACCCCGGAGACGGGTACTCTGCCACATAATGGTGGTCCTCCTGCCAGTTCGCTGCCAACATTCCTGCGTAAGCAGAGCTCTCTAAACGAGGAACTGATGGCCTGCAATCGCATTCGAGAAAAGGAGCGTGTCCGTAAACGCATTCAAAAGCAAACCTCGCTCAACGAAGCCTTTCTCTGCCGCTCGGCCATATTCTCCAAACGGCTACAGGTAATCCGCGAGGGGTTCACCACAAAGATTAGGAGCTCTACCGACAACCTAGAACGCGTAACCAACAAGATCATGCAGAATTTGAAGCCCAGCGCACCCAACTCCTCCAGCGCTGCCCCTGTTAGTCAATCAGTCAACGGAACAGGAATAGCTCAGCCGAATGGTGACCAGTCCAGCCAAATCCCACACTTGCAACATTCACACTTGGCGACGGCGACTATCCACAATAACAACAATAATAGCAGTAAACAGACCCAAGTGAAGTCCACACATTGCCAAGGGCCGCAGAGTCAGCATCAGCAACAGCACACCCAAGAGTCCGGGTCAGACTCCTCCAAGGACAGCAGCTTGCAGTCAGACACCAGCATCGAGTCTGAGGACAGCTTTGCCTCGGTCATCTTTATACCCAAGCCGGAGCAACAGCAGCAGCAGCAGAATTTTCAGCAGCAGCACTCCAGTTCGAGCAACTCCAGCTCCAGCAATGGTGAGTAATATACCCTTACCACAGCCCTTTTCCTTACAATCATATAAGCTACTATATATGTAAAGTACTTTTAAATTAATGCAAATATTTGAAATAGTCAAATGGAAGGAGGGCATATATGAAAATCTGAAACCTTTCTGAGAATTAGTGAGCATTACTGAATTTAATATAAGCATCTTATACATTTTACCATTTCAAATATTCAATTTAAAAGTTTCATCATCATTTTTACAGTTTTTGTAGAGATACTTGTGGGGAATAGAAATAAATAGAACGTGAAAGGAATGCTAAAATACTTTACAAATTTATTTTAAAAAACGCAATTAATTAAATTTATTAAAGAATTTCAATAAAAACTATTTAATACATACATACTTGTATATAATTGGAGACATATGTTTATGTACAGATTCAACAGCATACATTTACATCAGAATCGTGTCTATGCGTGTTTATTGCGTGCATGTCTGCAGTAGAATTGAGTCAAAGCAGCAACAACAACAATAGCTGTGGACAGAGCTTGGGCAGAGATTACATTTATAGCTATAACATTCTACATAATTGACCTATTATGATGAAACTTAACACACATACATAATCGCTAACTAGATGTAATTACTCGATCTACCTAAGAGTTAGGGGAACCTGGGTACCCTATTACCAAGGGCGTACGCAGGGGGCGTATAAAAAATGTTGCCATATAAAGTCATTATTATGACTCACTATTTCGCATTAAAATGGAACTGAGTGGGATTTGTTGAAGTTTTTTCATTGATCATATGCATAATTTATTTTTTAAATGCATCTCCCCTTTTTGTAAAAGCTGCGTATGCCCTTGCCTATTACCCATTTGCTATAAAAATCAATAAATCATTTTCTGGCTGAGACGGCTAGTTGGTATTCCCCCTTTTCCTTTAATGATAAATCTAACTTATTTTCCAAATTCATATTTAAAAAGATGTCCATTACATAAATCAAGTCTGGACATATATAGGCTGGATATATATTATATAGGCTCTAGTAGCAAAAGTTTAGCGAGTTTTTGTTTATTTCTATTTAAACTATAGAAATGAAAATTTGTTTTCGTTCTTAAAACAGTTTTGATATCAAATATAATAACATTACATACACGTTTATTTGAATTGTTGAGTTGCTGAGTTGCTGGTAAGATATATAAGCTTTGAAGTTATAGACGTTGGTGAGGGAAAGCAGTAACTAACTTGAAAAAGCGGGCAACTATATACTCTATATGTTGGCAATGCAAGTGGCAATTAGTTATATATTATACATTTTTTGATTTATTTATATAATGCTAGCTTAAAATTAAAATCTTAAAACTAACAGAAGAGCTTATGTTAGCAATGGCTTCTAGGGCCTTCAGCTAATTTTGTTACATACAAAGTTATACAGCATTGAAGAAAGAAGTAGGAATACATATTTATGTATTTCGTGTTAAATGTTTGTGTATTTTAAATATTTTAATATGAGTTTAGAGTTATGTATTGATGGGTTTGTAATTAAGGTGATGGGGTAAATGTTTGAGAGATTATATAATCTATGTGGATATATTATAAATTAATATTTGCTTACAGGTGGTAACACGATGGCAGTCGGAAGCGCACAGTCAGGAAGTGCTGGAACAGGAGCATCGCGTTTGCCGCCCCACTCAGTGCCTACCTCACCCCTCATAATGCCCTGCCCCCCGACACCGGCCCATTCGCCAGCTGCCACCCAAGGCACCATACTGACGCCGCCCTCAAAGCCGGCACGTTTCAATTTCGACGAGGCTCACATTAAGCAGCAAGAACAACAGGCACAGGAGAAGATTACACAGCAGACGATCAAGGATCTGCCTCCAATACCGAAGTTCCGCAAGCAACAGTCCTTGCAGCTCCAACGCCAGAGCTTTCCCATTGTACGTCGCGCTTCGGGCTCCATGGGCAGTCACAAGCTGCTCTCGCTGGAGCTTTTCAATCCGGCCACCGACGACCTAGACAGCGATTCGAGCGAGCCCTCCTCGCCTGACTCCATCGATAGCGTAATCAGCGCGCCCATATCAGCCCAGCTATCAGCAAAGCCGAATGACGAGTCGCAGTCCCAGCAGCTTACAAAAAACAACCGACACAAGGTAGAAATGCGGATCAACAACTCTACGAACAATGACATCATATTAAATGCTGATGCCCAGATGCCCCAAGAGAAGGATGCCGCTCCTGCGCAACAGCCGCAGGACTGCGCCGAGTTCGCCGAGCAACTGAGTGCACAACTACAGCGGGAGTTGGACGATAAGACCAATCGAGTCGAGTGTCGCAGTCTCGACGGAATTGGGGAACTAGACGTGGCGGACTTCCTTGATGGTAGTTGCGGCAAGAAACGTTCCGGTGGGGATCCAAACACGCTGCGAGAACGACGACTTATGCTGGCCAATTTAAGCACCCAACCTAGCTTGCAGCAGTCGCCATCGTCCTCGACTTCGTCCCTTTCGCTCGAGGAGAACGAACGCAGCTACACACTGGGACTCTACGAGCACTGCAAAATATCAAAATTTAACTACAAACGCAACCGCCACTACAATCTCAATCCCGAGACAGCCTACTTGCTACAGGATGACGGAGACAGCGAGGTAGATGACGTTATACCCGAGGAGGATGAGGATGCAGAGGCCGAAGCCCTCGAAGCGCGCGGTGGCGATCGTCTAGGCGAGGGAATGCACGAATATGGACAACGGCGGCGTAACGTGGCCAACGCCCTCAAAGGAAGTGCCAGCTCCGCTAATCAGCTGCCTACACCCGTGGAGTCCGAACTGGTGCAGCAGCGTCCCTCAAGCGAGTCGTGGGAGCACGAGAACTCGAACAGCTCCACCACCTCGCTGGACAGCCCCTCTCAAGGAGGGGCCACAACGCATCATCGCTACTACCACGTCTTTCGCGAAGGAGAACTGGATGCGCTCATCAACCACCACGTAGCCAGCCTGCACATTGTCTCCTCGTACTACGAGCGTGCCAGCTGGTGTGTTGTGGCCGAAAAAGTGCAGGTGTGGACGATCTGAATCTGATCCGTCTCACGGCCTTCTAAGGAATTGTTAATATTAGTGCTTAATGATAGACGATTTAATTGTAATCCAACACACCTTTCTATTTAAGGACGAGTGTGGTATCCAAATTTCTATGTACATGTATATATGTACGTATATATACATACAAGTATATAGCATGATAATCGAAAGAAAACAACGCAAATCCCGCATGTATACCTATTAAGAAGTACACGTACATGAAGACAAATATTATAACAAATCAATATATTACGTTGCCTGAAACTATATTAAATTTACATACGAGTATAGTTTGTGTACAACGACCATACGATACTGTTTATAATACTCGTAATACATAGAAGCAGGTAATGCTTTAAATACTTACTTAGTTCAACTTCTCGAAGCCTTACGATTGATTAAATGTACCACAAAACCTGCCTATGATTCAAAATAATGCTCACGCGATCTTATATTCATGCATACTATATAGTATATACATATACATAAACACGTTAGCGTCCATTGTCATACAAAAATATACAAATATATTTTCCAGTTCAAATACAGCTTATTAAATGAAAAAGATAAATCATATCTAAAAATGAGTAGACAGACAGACATTAAACATTCTATACGTATACATACATAAATAAAAAAGAAAAACTATTACTGCAGAGCTCAGACAAACATATAAAAGTATTTACAAAAAATAAGAATTCTAAATATTGACTCTACATACACGTATATTGAAAGGACAATTAAATAACAAATAAATACAAACGCAGCATAAAGTACATATTTACAAGAGTAATATAAAGAAATATAATTTAAGTTAAGACAATGGCATTAGTTTATTGCATATATCGACGATACAACAAATACAAAATAAATCATTCTTATTTAAATGAATTCATAACCTTCAGATTTCAATAAATATCCCCAGAAGGCCAACATTTACGAAATAAATGTAAAATAAATATACAGTACGCTATTATTTACAAAATAATGTGCGACGTAGATAGCAAATTAAACTTTAAATTGTAATAAATAAAAACAAAAAGAATTAACGATGTGCTTACACTAGGACTTGGAAAGTGATTAATTTTTAATATACCAATACTAAATGCTAAATAGCTATAACTTAGTTCATAAATAATTAAATTTAACTACCTATGAATGCACGAAATGCTGAATACGTATTTATTTACAAACAAAGAAGAAAAACATATAATTAGTTGTATTGCATATTTAAATTTATGTTTCCCATACAAATCCACACATTCACACACCTAGAACAAAAACACTTCAACTCAAATACAATAAACATAATTTAATTATTTAATAAAATTAACAATGAATAATATAAATACCGCCACAATTATTTATTATTTCTAGGGCGCTACCCCTAACTGCACATATATCCAATAGTCCATCTGCTTACTAGTATACTAATACTCAATTTAAAAATTTGTATTTATATTCACTTCCAATTAGAAATGGGGAAATTATCCGGGACGGGTTGGCAGCACCAGTAAATGTTACAGAAAATGGTACCACGAAAAAAACATGCGCTTTGCAACACTTTTTTATAAATTGGCTGCATTGCTCACAGCAACAAATTTAGGCTCTTCTGCAGATTAAGAGAAAAGTAATTCGAAGCTAAAATCAAAGAAAATAAAAATGAGCGGCAACACAACCGCCACAGGATCACAAGATGCTTGCTATATTTCGCTTCTCGGATTGGCCGAATACTTTCGTACATCGCAGCCGCCAAACATAAAAAAATGTATACAATGTTTACAAGCGCTGTTTACGTTTCAGCCGCCTTCGAAAGTGGAAGCCCGAACGCACCTCCAAATGGGCCAAATACTGATGGTTTATACAAAAAATATAGATATGGCACGCCAGCATCTAGAGAAGGCCTGGAACATATCGGAGCCGTTAATGAACTTCGATGACGTTAAGTTCGACACCGCGTCGTTGCTGGCACAGCTCCACCTACAAACGGATCAGAGTTCACAGGCCAAGGCAATGCTGCGACGCGCAGTGGAATTGTCCCAAAACAATGTCTACTGGCACTGCAAGCTGCTGCTAATGCTTTCTCAAATACATGCCAATGACCGGGAGTACTCGCTGGCCTCAGATCTGCTCGCTGTGGGCGCTGAATCGGCGGAGGAGGCCGGGGCGACCTACTTAAAAGTTTTATTTCTGCTCTCTCGCGCCATGATTCTGATGATCGAGCGTAAAACTAACGATGTGCTGGCGCTACTGAACTCGGCTGGTGCCATCATAGACAACCACATACCGAACCCGCATCAAAAGGAATACCTCAAAGTTTTCTTTTTGGTTCTACAAGTGTGCTACTATCTGGCCCTTGGCCAGGTGAAGACCGTGAAACCGAGTCTCAAGCAACTGCAGATGTCCATACAAACCATCATGGCGCCAAATTGGCCCACAGATGAAGTCATCTTTGGCACAAACCAACTGGAAATGTTTGTGTGGCTGCCCAAAGAACAGCTTTATGTCCTCGTCTACCTCGTCACTGTCTCCCATTCGATGATGGCTGGCTACATGGACAAGGCGCAGAAATACACTGAGAAGGCGCTAACCCAAATTGAAAAGCTTAAAGTGCAGGAAGACAAGCCTATTCTATCCGTTTTCAAGGTTATATTGCTGGAGCATATTGTGATGTGCCGCATGGTCATGGGAAATCGAGAACTCGCCATCCGGGAAATAGCCGCCGCTCGTGATGTTTGTCTTGCTGCACCAAATCGTAGCCTCCTCAAGCGCCACTCCGCGCAGTTGCATTGCCTTGTTGGGCTCTACGCCATGTCGATTAGCTACTTCGAGCATGCGGAGCGGCAATTCCTGGTGTGTGTCAGCGAGACAACCGAGCGCGACTTGAAACTTTTCGCGAATCTTAACTTGGCTATTATTTATTTACGAACCAAGCGAGATGTCGATCTAAAGCAAATACTGGACGCTGTTTCCACAGAGAACACACACACCTATAGCAGTCAGGCTCTAATGGGTGGCTTTTATTATGTCCAGGGCCTACATGCGTTTCACAAAAACAGTTTCCATGAAGCAAAGTAAGTTTGTGTTGTGGGACCCCGCACCTAACCCATAACTTATTTGTTTTATTTTTCACATTCGCAGACGTTTTCTGCGCGAAACTCTTAAGATGGCAAACGCCGAAGACCTGAATCGTTTAACATCCTGCTCGCTGGTGTTGCTATCCCATGTATTCCTCAGCATTGGAAACTCCAAGGAAAGCATGAATATGGTGACTCCCGCTATGCAGCTCGCATCTAAGATACCCGACATTCATGTGCAATTGTGGGGATCTGCCATCCTCAAGGATCTACATCGCATGTCCAAAGATGTCCAACACGAGAAAGAAGCATACGCGAACCACGTCAAATACTCAGAAAACTTAATAGCTGATCAGCGGAAGTGTGTACAGAGTGCACACCACGAGTTAGTCAATTGGTTCCAAGGCGAGCCGCCAATGACGACGGGCGCTCTACTAAGTCTACCACTACCCGCTGCAGACGCCACAACATCGCCGATACCAATGCAAACGCAAGCACTCCCCACCCAGTTTGGACAGTTTTATTAGCATCGACAGCAAGCTGTTGTTATTAATTAATGCCACTAAAGGACAGCGCCACTTTCCCCAGTAAAAACAAATGACAAAAAAAATAAGTTTTAAAAGTTATTCCTATCTGGACTTTAATAGGATTTCCCACAGGGAAAATTAAAAACTCAGTTTAGCGTTAAGGTTTTACAGAACTAGTGTTTGAGTCGTCTCTCCTTCGTCTGCCTCCTCATCGGCATCTTCCTCATCATCATGCAGCGCATTTTCCTTGGTACTGAGCAGCGTATAGTGTACCAACTCCTTCTCCTGCTGGTCATGCAAAATCAAATGGCTACGCATATCCTCCATCGATTTGAATTCCTGACTGCACACTGGACAAATATATATCTTTTCGCCCTGATGAGTACGCTTGTGCATTTGACAATCGCCGCGCTGTGTAAAGCTTTTAAAACAATAAGGACACACATATGGCTTTTCCCCTGTGTGAGTCCTCCGGTGGTTTTTCAGCACATTTAGAGCCGTGAAACGCAGTGGACACAAGTCGCAAGCATATGGCCGCTCACCCGTATGCTTCCGCTTGTGTTTGGCCAGCGAACACGAGGTGGTGAACTTCGCACTACAGGAGTCACACTCGTAGGGCTTGTCGCCGGTGTGAGTGCGCGCATGAGATGAGAGCTCTGCCTTGGTCACGAAGGAGTGAGGACACAATTCGCATTTGAAACGTTTTATGTCCGAGTGGCGTAGCATGTGTTGCCGTAAATTGGCATTTTGTGTGAAGCTCTTGCCACAAGTTTTGCAAGTAAAAGGCTTTTCGCCTGTGTGGATGCGCATGTGATCTCGAAGGGTGGAAAGCATAGTAAAAACTGCAATAATAAACCGGTTAGATAGCATTAGACTGGGATGAAACAAAAAATAACTCACCTTTTTGGCACACGGTACATTGATTACGCAAATTTCGCTTGTGCCCCTGGACCATATGCCGGCCGAGATCCTCCTTTGTCTCGAATACTTCGGAGCATTCGGTGCAGTTATATGAACTATGCGTAGCCTGATGTTCGTTTAGATGATCCATTGAAACAAAAACTCTCTCACATTCGTTACACTTAAAACTGAGATTTGTGCAGCCGTTTTGTCGGCGATGTATGGCGAGCGATTTTTCAAGAGCGAAACCAGCATTACAGCGCTCACAGCGGTACTTGAGCTTTACATTAGAATTAACTGACGTTGGTGTCGTTATGGACGCAATCGTTCCGTTCGGAACTTTAGAAGCTACCGTCGATTTCAGTTGCTTTGGCGGGGTGGTTGACGTTTCTTGCAATTCTTCTGAATTTGCCGCCCTACGACGACGTATGTTCCGCTTCCCTTGAATTTGTATTGGTGCCTGCTCTTGCTGCTGTTCCATCTGCTGTTGCAGCAACTTTGCTGCGCCTTTTCGAGTGGTCACATGGGACACAGACTCTGGCACTGATGGCGTGGGTGCAATTTCTGTTTCGCCATTGGCGTTGTTAAATATCGTAAATTTGTACTCCTTTTGCTTACTTCCCAACGTTTCAACAGTTGTCTGTTCGTGCAGTTCTCCAGTGGCTTGATTGTAAATCATTTCGGTTTCATATTTCATGTCATCTTTTTCCACCTGCAGAATGATATTCTCTGAGATTTTAGTCTGGGAATCCGCGGGCTCCTCGCTACCGAGAGCCGCTATGTCGTAGAAATCTTCATCATCCACATCGTTATCATAGCTAGCTTCTACTGTACTTTTCTCTTCAGCCGGCGGCGTATCTGTCTGAACTTCTCGTGAAGTAGATATTGTTGTCGTTGTCTGCACAGCCTTTTCCTCTGTGCTGGTGTCTTCGGGCCATGCATTGGCATTGGGCAGCAGTTGGTGTAATGTCCGATTGGAGTTCTCACATTTTAGCTTGAAGGAGTAACAGTGATTTATCTCACTAATGCAACTGAGGCACACCTTCTTAGGTAAATTATCCTCGAGACGCGGCTGTCAGGAAGTAACAATAAAAACCTGATTATAGCGCAGGAGCAGTCAATTATTAGAGCTCACTAGACACTGTACCTGTGTTTTAGTGAAATGCTGCAACATGTCGGCTAAACATCCTGCGGTTCCGGCTCCATTTTGTCCTTCGTATATAGACAGAAAAGGCCCTGATAGGCTCAAGCAAGTGCGGCATATCTTCTCTACGTCCATTATTATTATTCTTTTTTCTTGCTTTAATAGTGATGACAACTTTAATGGCATTGAGAGCGTGCGCAGTGTTGGAAAACGCTCGGATCATTATAAAAAAAATTGAGTAAAAGTGGTGTGTGCGTGATTGGAAAAAAAAACTTGGAATTATAGAATTCTATTTAAAATAAAAAATAAGCGTTCTTCTGTATTTTTTGGTGTGCTACCAACCGATCTAAAATGTATACATACATATATTTATCTTCTAATATAAAATGCTCAGGAGTTATTTCTTTGAGCAAGCCAATATGTGATAGGTCTTTGAGGGAGTTTGATATTGTCGAGTTTATCGTTAGAAATATTGTTTGCATAGAAATAGGGGAAAAAATGACGATTTTTATATTTTTTATAATGTTAAATAAGTTCTGTCACAGGGATATACATATAAATATGTTTATGGATTTATGGATTTTTTGTACTATTAAAGAAGTTTATCATAACTTTGAAGGCTGCCGGTAAACAATCCACCCGCCAGTGCTGCCCCCAACTATTAAGAAACAGCTGTAGTGTCGGCATTTGCATTATTCTGATAGTTATGTTAAAAAACCATATAAAATATGAATGATATAAGGCGTTTGAAAGAGCAACAACGCGAAAAACATCCTGGATTTGACTCCTATATGGATTGCATGACCCGCTCTCTTTTTTCCGGACTTGCCGCCTTTTGCTTAGGTAAGAATCCACACATCTTGGGCCTTTAAACAGCAACTAATTGCATAATTGTTTAATGCAGGTTTCTCGGGATCGTATTTTACACAAAAGCTTATACAAACTAAAATACGTTACCCCGTAAAGTACAACATACTGCTGTCCTCACTTCTGGCCACAGGTATTTCATATCAGGTAACCTCAACACGGACGAAGTCTTGTCAGTCGCGGTGGATGGCATTCGAAGAGAAACACTCTATTCTAAAGGAGGAACAGTTTTAAAACATTTTATATATATATAGCGTATATATATAGTTTAACCAGTAAAAATGGCTTGCTTAAAGTCCGTGTTACGTCTTTCACTAATTAACCAGCTCCGCCCCAAAGCAATGTTAACAACCCCGTTCCGTTTAAAATACACACAACACCAAGGTGTAAAAGGAATTCGAAGCCGTAAAAGTAGTTATGAAATACAAACTGTTCAACCAGATTCACAAGTCGATGAGTTTCAACCAGCTTCCGATGACACCGACATGCGGTTCCTTGACGATCGGTAAGACATTCCGCAAGTGTCTACGTTATATACAAAAACAATATTTTTCAGCGCATATGATGAAGTTGCTGGCGGCGCTATGCGCATCAGTCGAGGCACAGTCACTGCTCAACACGTGCTTGTTTTGCAGCCGTACATTAAGTGGTCAGCCAAGCGCACAACTCACTCCGAAGTCCAGCCGAATGATCAATTGGCCGAAGCCATTGCGCTTGTGAATTCACTGCCGAACTGGCAGGTTGCACACGCACTTAAGGTGCCCCTAGAATCGTTGGAGCGTAAAACTCTATTTGGTACTGGCAAACTCATCGAGCTTAAGCAGGTAGTTGCAGATTTGCGGCAGCAGCAGCAACTTAGCTGCCTGTTTATTAGCAAGGGAACGCTGTCTTTTGCGCAGAAGAGGTTCCTGGAGAGCGAGTTCCAGCTGCCTGTCATGGACAGATACTCCGTGGTGATACAGATCCTACGGTTACACGCAACCAGTGCCGAGTCACGCCTTCAGGTGGCGATGGCGGAGATTCCCTACATTTGGGCACAGGCCAAGGATGCCAACGTGACAAATACGCGTCGTCAGGGCTATGTCTTGACGGATTTGCAGAAGGAAATTCTGCGTACGCGCGAACGTAAACTAAGGGCTGAGCTGGAACGGGTGCGGAAGCAACGTGCATTACTGCGACAGAGGCGTAAGCAGCAAAACTATCCCATTGTAGCCGTGGTAGGCTACACAAACGCGGGAAAAACGTCGCTTATTAAGGCGTTGACTGTGGAGGAGTCATTGCTGCCGCGAAATCAATTATTTGCCACCTTGGATGTAACAGCACACGCTGGCCAGTTGCCATGTAATTTGGAGGTTATTTATATGGATACAGTAGGGTTTATGTCTGATCTGCCTACGGGACTGTTTGAATGCTTTGTCGCTACGCTTGAGGATGCAATGCTGGCGGTAAGTTATTACGTGTCGTTCCATTAAATACGCTCACAAACCCCCATTTTGTCTTTCAGGATATAATTATACATGTGCAGGATGCCTCCCATCCCTGTCATGCCGCTCAGCGGGAGCATGTAGAGACTACATTAAAAAATCTGGCCTTTAGCATATCCAGTGAATCCGCAAGCCTACCACCTATCATCAATGTTTATAACAAAAGCGATTTACTGCATGGAGGTGAAGAGAAAGCTTTAGCTGATGGCAATCATTGGATTTCAGCTCGTACTCAAACTGGTCTCGAACCTTTACTTACTGACATAGAAGACAACATTTTAGCAGCTACAGATCGCCGCAAGCTACAAATGCGGGTGAAGAGCGGCGGTTCCGAAATGGCCTGGCTTTACAAGCATGCGGCGGTCGTTGATGTGTCAGCAGATTCCACGAATCCAGAATTACTCCTTATGCATGTTGTGATAACACAGCGAGCTTTGGAGCAGTTTAAACGTCAGTTTTGTCAATAACCTACAGTTAAAAAAGTTTAAATATTTGCAAAGGCGCAACTGGCACCATCTAAATAATTTATTCTTACTGTTCTATTCTACTTTTGCATATGTATATGTATGTACAAAATATAGTTGGTAATGGTGTTATATATGTATCAGGTTTTACCATTCTTAGTTCAAAGATTATATATTTTATATTGCTATTGCTCGTTTGTGACTAATTCCAACAAAATCTTTAATACTAGCGTCGACCCATATACAAATCACCTTATAAATACCAATATAAAGGTATGTACATACATACCAATAATTGTATCAATGTAAAACACTAAAAAAACAACTCATAAATACATTTCCTTCGAAATAACATAACATGTCAAGGATTCCCACTTTGCTTACTTTTCCCTTACAAAGGAAAATTTAATTATGCATTATGTTTTCTAAAAAATATAATAATTATGCGCTATATGGCTGGCTACTTAAGAACACTTCTTCAGGTTCTGCAAAGGGACTGTTGGCACAATTATGTATAAAATATATATGTATACATATCTGCCCTTACATGAATAATGGCAACGTTTATTCCCGAAGGCAAACTTTTTTTCTTATGTGAATCGTCCACCGAACACACAAATCAACGATTCGACATGGTACCGTTACTAAAAATTATTTAGTGTTTTGATTACAAATTTGTCTGAAATATTAATCAATCAAAAGTCAAAAAAATAATTTTTACATTTCGCCTATAAGTGTTCCAACCGTTACTTACATATCTGACATAGGAACCTTTTATTTCCTAGGATTTCAGTACTCGAGTACGTGATACGATTCTGAGGCAAACCAATAGTCGGGTAATAATTAATTTATACGATATAGGTGTGAATCATAAGTCAGACCGACGTTCGGACCTCTGGCTTTTGAAAGCAAATTGAATACTAAATTAACAACTTTGTACACATCATTTAAATGTAGTTTTTCTTTAATTTTGAACAAGCGAGTTAATGCAAGGAACAGAGTCCTAAATCTGTACAAATACACCTCAGTCTGTCTATAAGATACTCAGTATCTACGGCCTAAGGAAACATAGTGGTTCAAGTTGCTGCTTGCATCTCAGACGACATTCAAAATATAAAACAAAACATGAACAAAATTAAAGTTATTCTACACCGTTCGAACAATCCTTTTTGACTCAAATGTATATACGAGTATACCATTACATAAATTCCTGGAAAAAAAATGTTTTGAACTGAATAAAAGCAATTCTTAATGGTTTTTTTGCCGCCATGTCTGGTTTTTAGTTTGAACAGTAACAGCTAATGATTTTAAAAAAGTTTTTGAGTATTTAAAGATTATTACTAATATTTTAGTCTAATTTCCATTGATCTCCTTATAATACTTCAAGTTTAGTCAAAAATTTGAGTTATTTCGCTGACTTTTGATTGATTGATATATCATTGGAATGTGAAAGATACAATCTAAAAAGGAATGCATTTTTTTCTTTCTAAACTTACAAATTATTTTTTTATGAAGAGTAGCACATAACTACAGATTTTGTTACACTGGGCTACCGTTGCAGGACTCCTGTAAATGGTTCGTAACAAGATATAAAACATATAAATGTGTTATACATACATATACACACATCTGTATCGGTTTGTAGAAGTATAGTGCTTCTACCGACTGCTTCAAGTATATCCTATATAAATCCGCCACCTTAGCTCAACCCGTCACCGATCTTAAACTTACCATGAGCAGGAAGATGCAAGGAACCACATGAGAAACTGAAACAATGGTGAGATGAATACAAAGACAGTTAAAATACAAATGATGCGACAGTTTTTGAGCAATGTGACAATGAACCGAATAAGGAATGCAATTGTACTATGAGAGGGCGGAGCGGTCGCCGGCCGCTTGCCGTTTGTCAGTTATAACTTGGCTATGTGCCACTGGGCCTGCTGGTTGGCCGCTGCCGAGTATTGAGCGAAAGGCATCAGCTGGCAGTACGAGAGCAGCTGCATTTCCAGCTCGCGGAGGCATTTGGTGGGTGTGGGAGCGTGGCGCATTATTCCACTGTCGCGCTCCTTTAGTAGATAGCCGTGTTGGACGAGCGCATGGATAGCAATGTTCAGATTATCAAGGGCCAAACAATACGGATGAACATAAGCTGAGGCCGGCTGCTTGAGCAGTTGCTCTACATGCTCCTGTACACGCACGACCAACTCCTTATTATTGAACTCGGACTGGGCGGGAAACTACCGAGAGATAACAGAAATTCAGAAACTGATAACAACAAAGCACTTAATTAATTGAAAGTACTGACCTGACGCAACGTTACAATCAGCTGATAATAGAGGCACAGAAATGGCGCCAAAGCCGCAAGAATCACGCGACTACAATCGTTGTCGTTCACTTTAATACTACCAGTTGTGTCATCCAGTTCCAGGACTCGCTCGTCTAGCAACAGCTGGAGGTGTGTTTCAAACTCTGCAGCCTCGCGATTTGACTCGATGATAAACTCATACTGGAACAGCCCTTCTAAAGCTGCGGCATGAAGCTTAAGGCCGGCAAGTGTGGCTGAGCGCGATACAGAACCATCGCCAGTTTGTTGTTTGTGCTGCTCCTTCAGCGCTCCAAGGACTAAGTAGGCGAGTCGTGCCAGCCAAAAGAGAGAGGGATTTATGTATAGCTGAAGCGCAAGCATAGGTACGGCTACAGCCATTGTGTGCGAACACAACGCATGTCCCTTTAGACGAGTCATGTCGATTTGCTGCTCCAACTGTTCCGCCGTCAGCTGCGTAAATTCAAGGCGCGCCTGCCGGAAATTCACAATATTGGAGTGTATTTCCACTGCATCAATTATATCAGCTTTTATGCTATTAGCCGATGTAGAAACGTGGGCACCAAGCTGTTCAAAGATGTGCTTTAGATGCAGGATTCCCAGCGACAATTCGTCGATATTCACGCTGCGCTGTGCGTATAACTGGCTGGCATAGTAAAGGCTCAGCAGATTAAAGGTGTTTATCACTATGCGACGCTGCTGCTGGTAGATAACTTCATTCGCCAGCTGCTTCACTTGCTCAATCTCATCCCGGTTCAGCTTTTGCAAATGGGCACCAATTCCAGCTCGTTGGATGCGCTGCACACTGCTGTGGCCAAAGAATTCACGTGCTGATATAGGCGCACCAAAGTCCAAATACATCTTTCCAAATCTTTCGTCGACTATTTTCAGTGCTTTAAAGAATCCCTTCGTCGATTCTTTCGGTTTTGGCACACCTAGTAGCTCGTACACAAATAGCTGCTCCTCCAAAACGCGCTCATAGGAAACGCTCACGGGTACGATGGTAACATCGGACACTTCGCCCGTGAAATAGGGGAGTAATGCCATCGATAACAGACCCACTTTCGGGACCAATGCCTTGAAGTTGCGTGAACGCGTCCCCTCAATAAAGAACTCTACTCCAATGTGGTAACTGGCGACCAGAGCATACATGTACTGACGAAATATATCCCAGTAAAGCTCATCGTTGGAAAAAGAGCGACGCATGAAAAAGGCGCCGGTCTTACGTAACATTGTTCCCATACCATACATAGAATGGAAATCTGCAAAAATTATTTTAAAATAGGTGCTGTGCGTTTAATAATTTCTTGGATAGTACTAACCCATTCCAGCTGCTATGCCTGGTATCTCAACATCGTAATAAAAACAAATATAGCTCATGAGAACAAAGTCCATATAGCTGCGATGACTTGGTAAGTAGAGTACTGGACAACTCCTGCGTCCTATATCCTCCTTGACTGCTGCAATGCTTTCCGCATTCACATATATTCCATCGCAGATCCGCTTCCCAATGGCTGTAATAGCCATGCCGCACCACCGAATTATGGCGAGATTGCGATCCAATCCAATCTCATCCAAGATTTTGCGTGCCTGCTGTTTCAACTGCCTTAGCGGCTGATCTGTCTCCTTTGCATAGTATTCTAATATGGCAGCCATTTTGTCGCTGTGGAGTACATGCTGCTTCAGTTTCTGCGGATTGAGATAGCGCTCGAACTGGTGGGCCACTTGTGGTTTGTACTCTTTGGTCATCACAGGCTCCCGACCCGGCGCTATAATGTTCTCAAAGTTACGCATATATTCAGCAGCTGCATCCGATGCAGATGCATAGGCAACGGCGGCATCGGTGGTGGGAATGGGGGGCGATGATGACACCGCCGACGATGATGAGTTAGGTACAACAATGTCTCGCGTCATTTGGCGTTACAAGTTCAATCTGTAAATAAAATATTTAAATTGTCAGAGGGTTGTTTTTAACGTAATTTGCCGTCCGGTCCGACCAGATGTCAAAACCACACTGGCCTGTTGTTTGCAGAGTCAGTTGCCAAGTGTGACTACAAAAATACACACACTCGTACCTTCAATATCTTTTACAACTGCGTTAAGCGTACATGTTATTTCCTTATCCACTCAGATTGTGCTAATCATACAATGGAAATCCGCAAATTTTAAAGTTAAAATCATATACTTACGTATGTATGAATGTATGTGCTTAACCCAACTAAACATACAAATGTGTACATACATGCAAGCAAACAAACATCAGGCGACTATGACACTATTGACAAGCCCCCCCAAGACAAAACAATAAAATCTTAAAACAGTTGCTGCGTTTCTCAGTGCGCACTCACAGACTGCTAAGGGGGTGTTGTGGGATGATTGTGGGTGGGTAGGTATGCATGGCACGTTGCGGTGCACGAAAATTACGCAAACACATACGTTATTTAAGTGCGTTAAAGCTTCGGGAACGGCCACAAACAACTCTGTCTAATTGACATAAACAAAAAATATATATGTATGTACTTATATATTTACAAAATCACACACATATGTATCCAAATGAAACAATTCAGACAATAAACAACTTTCTCTTTTGCTTGCTTTGATGTGCGGTACGTACCGGGCGCTAGGGAATACTCCAACGCAGCCAATGGGCTATGCGAATTTATAATATTTTGTACGTTTTGCTTGACTTTCAATACATTTAAAGAATATATGGCCACATTTTGTTGTAAGTTAAATCAGTTTCGGCGATTGATTTTGTGGTTGTGAAAGGAGCGCGCGACAATCGATAATTGTGTAGGTGTGAGTATTTGAGGCGGAATGTACGTTACGATTTATTTATCGAATAAAATGTTCCAAAATTGGTTCCAGGTATTGAAAAACTACTGGAAAATATACTAAATACTGATTATGTGCGACAGACATCGAAATATGTATGTTGGTTTTTAATTCAAAGAGCTATTTAATGCCGTTTCATATGTGCATATTTTCAAAGCTTCAAACCAGTTTTAGAAGGTAATTTATTCAAAGCTTTCTTTCAGCTGCAACACGTTGAAGCCCTGGCATAGTTCGCCATTTCCAGCAATCTCAGCATAAAGTTAAAACAGTGTTTTAAAGGTGTATTACGTTTTTAACCTTTAGCATAAATTAGACACATTTGCAATGTCGTTCTCTTGGAGCACCGTTTTAGAGGCTTTGATTTATATAGTACACATCATAAGCGATCGTCTGCTGGAGATCATTTTGGGGTGGTATTTAGGTCAGCGCAAGAGTGTCGCAACGCCGCTTAGTTTGGAGCAGCAGTCCATAGTGACGAAGAGTGCAGTTGAGCTGGCTCAGCTAATACGAGAGAAAAAACTAAAGAGCTACGACATATGCAAAGCATATTGCGATCGTATTGAAACTGTGAACCGCGATATTAACGCCATAGTCGATGGCCCCTTTCCAGAGGCACTGCAGCAGGCGCAGGAAATCGATCAAAAACTCGAGGCGAATGAGTTTACGCCAGAAGAATTAAAAGATAAGCCTTTTCTGGGCGTGCCTTTCACAACCAAAGATAGTACTGCAGTCGCTAACAAGCTGCACACCTTGGGCCTGGTCGCTCGCCGGTCCGTTCGTGCGCCAAACGATGCGGAGTGCGTACGTTTAATGAAAGAAAGTGGAGCTATTATAATAGCTACCAGCAATGTGCCCGAGGTAAATAAATGGATAGAGACACGGAATAAACTAATTGGATGCACAAATAATCCGTATGACCTACGTCGCTCTGTGGGTGGCTCGTCTGGTGGCGAAGCTTCACTTATTGCTGCATCCTGCACTGGCTTTGGTCTGGGGACGGACATTGGTGGCTCAATACGAATACCAGCTTTTAATTGCGGTGTCTTTGGGCACAAACCCAGTGCTTTAGCAGTTAACATGGCTGGGTGCACTTTTCGTACAGGGAAGGAAAAGGAGACAATGGTCGCCGCAGGTCCAATGTCTCGTTATGCTACTGATTTGCGACCAATTTTAAAGGTCATTATTGAGCCTCATCTGCAGGCTGTCCTCAAACTAGATACCGAGGTAGACTTAAAAAAGGTACGCTATTTTTATGTGGCAAGCAACGGAATGTTGCAATGCAATCCAATCAATCGTGAAACTGAACGCGTTATGTACAACGTGCGAAAGCATTTTGAAACGCTTACCGGGAAGGAAGTGCGTTTAGCCAACCTACCGCATATGGAGCTAAGTGGAAAAATGTGGCGCTACTGGATGACACAGGAGCCTGCCAACTTCAACCTACTACTCGGCGATGGTGTTGAACTGAACCCCTTTGTTGAATTGTTTAAGAAGCTGCTGGGCCAGAGCGACTACACAATGGCGGCTATATACTCGCTGATTGACGGACTGTTACCCAAGGAGAAGGAGTCGCTGATACGCTCAGCTACTAAAAAGTGCAAGCAGGCGCTGTGCGAGCTGCTTGGCGATGATGGTGTGCTTTTCTTCCATAGTTCACCACGCACAGCACCATTCCATTACTATCCTTTGGTTAAGTTTTTGGACTTCAGCTATTTCAGTTTATTTAATGTGCTTCGTCTGCCGGTGACACAAGTGCCAATGGGATTGGACTCCAATGGAATGCCCTTGGGTGTGCAAGTTGTTTCCAATGATAAGAACGATCGTTTGTGTTTAGCTGTGGCCGAGGAGCTTGAACGAGCTTTTGGCGGCTGGGTACCGCCATTTCCGTTAAAGCAGTAAATTGGACGATTTTTAAATGACGTATATATGTATGTATATACCCTATGTTGGTATGCATTGTACAATGGGTGTGACCGCTATTGAGGTGATGGTAATGTTTAAAAAATACATCTGTAAAAACATTAAAAATATAATTAAGAATGCAAAATGTGTTCCTAATAAAATTTCGCTTTCCACTACGATAGTTTTTATTTATTTAAAAAACAGCTGACGATTTGCTTGGCAACATTGCGGATATCTTTCTATGCATATGGACGTATAAGCATGAGGCTCCAAAGAGTTTCGGAGGCAGCTGATTCATCTATAATTTTCGCAATGTTTAAAAGTAAACAAAGGGTGATATTGCGAAAATTTACAACACATCAATTGTGTTTACACATCGATAAGCGGCTTTAACATATCGATAGCATCCAATGTATCGGTTTGCTCACATTTTTTTGGGTGTTTTAAAAGCGTGAAAAAAACGCCAAAAGACGCTGTACGGGCGCGTATTTGTACAAGAAGTGCTGTGGAGCTGCAGTTAAAGGCGTTCTAAATCAAAATAAATAATAAGGTGCACTAAATGAATTGTATACAGCCTGAAAACTGCAACGAAAAGTAGGCGCTGAGTGTTATTGAACAACGATTTGTGAAGAGGAAGAGAAAGGTGGTGGTGGTGGTGGCGGAGTGTGCCTGTGTATGAGTGTTGGTGTTGTGTGGGTAGAGGCGTTGTGGAGCGGAAGGCTGGAACTAAAGTCTCAACGGATACGAAGAAAAACAAATACAGAGGACTACAAAAAGAGAGACGAATACAATTTCTAGCAGAGAAGTGACGAGCCAAAAATTAAACATTATATAGTTGTAACAGCGCACGTTTAAGCTGTAGTTGCTTTAGTCAACGACCGCGCCCTAATGTCAAATAGTCAAGTAAAAGCCGGCAGCAGTGGTAGCGCGGATGAACCGAACGCAACTAATCTGGCGGCTACAGGCACGGGCATCGCCACCAATTCCAATCTGACTGCGACGGGAACCACAGCATCACCGCAAGCTCAGCCTGTTGTCTCAGCCACCGCCCACGCCCATTCTCAGGCGCACGCCCAGCCACCAATAACAGCAACAACAACAAGCGGGATTGGGCCAACGCCACATATAGTGGCAGCCTCAGCGTCTGCGGGGGGTGTAGGAGGCGGCGGTGTCAATGAAGGCGTCAGTTTGGGCGTTGATTCGTCGCCCCGTGAGTCTGGCGATGATTCCGAAGACGAAAGTGAAATACTGGAAGAGTCGCCATGTGGGCGCTGGTTAAAGCGACGGGAGGAGGTCGATCAACGCGATGTGCCCGGCATTGACTGTGTGCATCTGGCAATGGACACCGAGGAGGGTGTGGAGGTCGTTTGGAACGAGGTGCAATATGCCAATCTGCAGGAGCTCAAGTCACAGGAAGACAAAATGCGACAGGTATTTGACAACCTGCTGCAGCTGGATCATCAGAATATAGTCAAGTTCCATCGCTACTGGACGGATATACAACAAGCAGAACGGCCGCGTGTCATCTTTATCACAGAGTACATGTCGTCCGGCTCGCTAAAACAGTTCCTCAAGCGCACCAAGCGTAATGCCAAGCGATTGCCATTGGAATCTTGGCGTCGCTGGTGCACACAGATCTTGTCCGCGCTCAGTTATTTGCATTCCTGCACACCGCCCATAATACATGGCAATCTAACCTGTGATAGCATTTTCATCCAGCACAATGGTCTGGTTAAGATCGGTTCGGTAGTCCCCGATGCGGTGCATTATAGTGTGCGGCGTCAGCATCTGGCCGATATGGTCAGCGGTTCTAGCGGTAGCGGCGAACGTGGAGCCCATTATTTCCGTGCACCTGAGTACGGAGCGGCGGAACAATTAACAGCGGCTGTGGATATTTACGCCTTTGGAATGTGCGCTCTGGAAATGGCTGCCCTGGAGATACAGCCCAGCAATAGTGAATCGACTGCCATCAATGAAGAGACCATATTGCGCACAATTAACAGCCTAGAGAACGACCTGCAGCGTGATTTGATACTGAAGTGTCTGCAACAGCATCCCCAAGGAAGACCAAGTGCCAGCGATTTGCTATTTCATCCACTGCTTTTTGAGGTATGCCCACCACATTAATTTCATAATTATAAAATAAAAAATTAAGTGGCAACCTGGAGGCGCTGGGCGTTGCCGTTGGCATCGCATTACCACAGCTCTAATTTCATTTTTCCAATTACAGGTTCACTCATTAAAGCTTCTCGCAGCACATTGCCTCGTGTTTTCGCCAGCAAATCGCACCATGTTCTCGGAGACTGCTTTTGATGGTCTGATGCAGCGCTATAATTATCCAGACGTAATAATGGCGGAACTGAAAATGGCCGGCGGATATGAGCGTGAATTTCGGCTCTCAGATGTACCCGGCGCAGACAAGCTGGAGAAGTTTGTGGAGGATGTGAAATACGGCGTCTATCCATTAATAACGTATAGCGGTAAAAAGCCGCCACATTTTCGGTCTCGTGCTGCCTCACCAGAGCGTGCCGATTCGGTGAAATCGGCCACGCCTGAGCCTGTGGACATTGAGTCACGACGCATTGTGAATATGATGTGCAGTGTGAAGAAACTAAAGGAGGACAGCAATGACATCTTGATGACAATATTACTCCGAATGGATGATAAAATGAATCGTCAGCTGACTTGTCAAGTGAACGAGGATGATACTGCGGCGGACTTGACCAGCGAATTGGTGCGTTTGGGTTTTGTGCATCTTGATGACCAGGATAAAATAATGACTCTATTGGAGGAGACGCTACGTGCTGGCGTGCTGACAGATGCTGGTGGCAACACTGAAAGTACGGGCGCTGGCGTCACGACTACGGCCACAATGGCCGCGCTGGAGCAACTGGAGCGCAACTGGTCTGTCTCTGATGCTGATAAGCCTATGACGACAGCAACCTCGACGACGGCAACAGTGACAGCCACAGAGACAGCGACGAGCTTGTCCACCAACAGTTCGCCCACCACAGGTCTTATGTATGTGCCACAAACTCAGCAACAGCAGGGCATACTCGAGCCCATGGATACATACGATGTGTTTGCATCGGGAGGTAGCAGTGCGCCCGCCGCATCCACAAACAGCAATTGAAAGTATTCAGCGAATTAATAAAAGTAGATATGGGAGCATTGAAAGCTAACGCGATGCGAATGAGATCGTTTTTGCGCCTGCGTGCAGGGCCGGCATAAATTGTTTTAATTAATGGGAATTACAACACTACGATTTTATTACTATACCATGATTTGTTTGTTATTTTTATATATATGTATGTATTTAAAATAATATTTATGTATGTATAATATTTATGTAACGATGTTGTACAAGGCTTCCAGGCTAGAGATTTCGATGTAAACACACACTGCATAAAAAAACCGAAAAACAACTACAATTTACCTTTTGACAAGCAACAACAAAAACAGCAATTGCTGAGCTAGTGCTGCTCCCAAACCGAATGCAGACGAGCTTACAAAATCCAAGCGCATTCGCTTAGCGTAAATTCAACAAAAATTTTGAATCCAATTGAAAATTTTTGAAGACTCGAAACAATTCAAATACATACATACCTACATATGTACGTATTTATGTATGTTGTGTTGCAAAGCTGCAGTAGTAATTACACATACCATCAAACACACGCATAAACATGCCACTCTATTTAAAAAATAGCGTTTAGGCGCCCACAATGCAACAAAAAACTGTATAATTTTTACAATAAGAAAATGGAACATATGTATAACTATATAAAAGTTTGATGAGTAGTAAAAAAAAAAAACAAAAAGAACAACCCACAAAGGCAGTGAACGTATTTAAATGTATTACAAATATGAAAAATACACAGGCAAGACACTCAGCATTAACAATACAGATTAAAATCAACAACAGCAATTTGCATTCAATAAAGACAGAAATACGCAGACATAGCTACACTTAACTAATAAAAAAAAGAAAAAAACAACAAAAGAAACTCACATCAGTTGATTTTGATTAAAAATGATTATGTGAGGTTTGGGATACACACAGCTTAAGCTACGGTCAGACATCCAAATAATTTTGACAGGAATTCGTGATTTTTTCCAAGTACGATTTGGTAAGTACTTTAATTTAAAGACGTTTCGTGTAGACTTACATTTGTGACATACTTGTGAAGTTTGCCCAAATTCTGTGAATATTATTTGCCTGTCTGGCCGTAGCTTCACTTTTTATTTTCGTGTGAAATACAAGTATAATTTACAGTGCATTACACAATTGTTTTTATTATTATTAGTATTTACTAAGCAACAACACTTTGCACTGTACTGGGTTCCTCCGTCAATTTAATGCGCTTGCTTTGACGCTCAGGTTCCTCATCACTTAAGTTGGCCGTTGTTTTAGTATCTAATAATTTTGGGTGATCGTCAGATCTTTCCACGTTGCTGGGCGCAGTTTCAATCGGCTTACGTACTGGAAACTTCTGCTCGTACAAATTAAGCAGTTTATTTCCCTCATACAAAACAAACGGCAAACTGGCGCGCTTATAGTAGTCCGAGAGTAGCTCGAGATTGTTAATAACTGTATCCAACATATGCGACTTTTCACACCAAATGCCTGGCGCATCGTTCCGCACGGGGTTTATGTGGAGATGCAAGTGGTAGAATGAGGGTTGGTAATGGAAGTACATGCGTAACTGGGTGCTGTGATAGCCGTAACGCTTAGATATGACCTTGGCACTGCGATCTCGCAAATTACGCAATAAAGGCAGATGACTTTCGTTCAGATCTCGCAGAGATTTGATGCCATGTTTGTGCACAATGCCCAGCAAATAGAGATTCTCGACATTGCGTCCATCCCACTTCAGATCGGGAAGCAGGATAAAGCCCGTCTCTGGGTCATTGTCCTCGTACACAATCCGCTCCTGCTCCTGCTTGTGTTCCAGTATGTTGTACACCCAGTCCAAGGAGAACTGGCTCTCCTCTATATAGGGAAGGGTAACGGTTTCATAGAGATCTGGCGTCTCACAGATGACGTACTTGTGGCATATGGAATATTTCTCAATGTGCTTCTCGGTGGCTGGATAAATAACGGTGCACTTAACCCCTGCAAATGAAATAGTAAGCGATTTGTTTGTTTTTGTACTGTTTTTGTTGTACACACCGCACAACTCCGAGGCGGGCACACAGTGGTAGCTGCCGTAAATGTTGTTTACAAAATCCGTCCGCACACTCAAGTCTGTGCTGAAGTAGCTTGGCTTTAATGGTTCCTCGTTGGACGGCGCACCGGTGGCAACATCACTCTCCCTATACGCATGCTTCTCAAAAATAACAACGGCGGCTGCGCTTTCATCATTGTCAGGGAAAGTACCTAGTAAAGCGATAGTTTTCCGCACGCTGTTGTTGTTTAGGATCCGCTTCAATTTAAATTTAGTCAGATCGTAGCTGGGGGCGGTTTCCTTAGAAGCAGCTGAGGCTTCAGAGGCAGTGCTTGTGTTGACTTTGGGGCTAGTTTCTACTTTTTCCGGCATTTTAATTAGACAAATTGAGGCTAAAGTGGCCTGCCAAGTTAGAGATGTGAGAAATTCGATAACCAGAGTTAAATATGTAAAGGAAATGTACTATACAATCAAAATTGTATATAATCAAAAACATACGATTTTTTAAATTTTGATTTCGAAATATACATTTTTGGGTTGTCTTATTTATTTAATTAAAAAAAATAAAGAAAACCAAAAATTTATAATCTGTTCAAAATTGAAATTAGACCATAAATACCAATGCGTTATATTTTGCTCTTATACTCACTTTTTATGTTTTTTGGTGTAGCTATGACAAACGTGGGGGTATTTTGAGGATGAGAGCTCTTTAAAAATTTACATTTTTTTATATTTTAAAATCTGCATATGGCGAAAAAAGTTATCTTTACAAAAGCCTAATATTTAAACCCCATCTAACATATTTATCAGATGTGGTTGTTTTATTAAAAACATTTTTCTTAGCTTTAAAAAAATGTTTATTTGTAGGATCTGGAAAAATCGTACATGCAATATAAAAATGGCGAAATGTTGGACAAAGTGTACAAAAATTATTACACATTAAAATTAATTTGCTTCAAATAAAAAACAAATAAAAATATAATCCAAATAAATTAGTAATAGCTCTTGTCGAACAGCTAGCTGTTCACATTCAAATATTGTTACCAAGTAAATTGCAAAAACGGTCACACAATGTTGAACAATGAAAGCGAAGGCCTATTTAAATTGTTAAATTTGATTTGATTCCGAAGTTTACTCCAATGCATTTCAGTTTTTACTTTCCGTGCTCTATATTCTCTGTCCATATAATGTTTTAATATTGTCGTTTCGTCATTTGATTTATATATAAGTATACATAAAGAACGTTTTCTTACTTAGGACAGAAGCTTTATAGTTTAGCCTATGTATATAAATATTCTGATGTTGGAGTTCCTCTGCGTCATTGTTCGCTGTTAAATGTTCGTTTTATTAAGTGTGTACTTAAATACAGGACAGGTTACATTTTTGATAAAGAAATTCAGAATATATAAACGACTATATCGCAACACAAAGTGCTCTCCCGAACATGTTCAAAACATATTTATAGATTCATTTCAAGCTTAACAATCAGTTACACGTTTGCACTTAAATAATATTGATTACAACTTGTAGTGTGCAAAGGCCTAGTAATTTTTTCTTTTTTTTTTTTTTTTAATTTAGTTTTCAAGTAAACATTATACAACAACACCTTTGGAAGGCTTGGCGCCCAGTATATCCGAAAGTTTCTGCTGATATGAGGCTAAACTATTGGCATCGACATTATGTACCTTACAGGACAATTGCAAAGCATTTAGATATTGCATTTCAGTAAACTCTGTGCCACGCTCCAACAGTGCATTGAGTATTTCCTGGGAACAAAAAAAAAAATATATATAAATATAGAAAGCCGAAGCTGCAAATTCTGAAAGTTTGTGCTCACATCTGGCTCCATGCATAGCAGTTCATAGAAATGTTTTGCCTGGTCTAGGGCAACCTCCCTAGACGCGGTAATGTTGCTCAGCGTCTGTTGCAGTGCAATGGAGTTACGGCACATCCGTTGTACCGTGATTTGATCAATGTGTTCCAAGTAGTTGGACGCTTGTATAAGTATTCGTGCGGCTAAATGAGCTAGGCCCTCAAAAATGTACTGCAACGAGATAGTTTCATTAAAAGATCGGCTTAATATACTCCTTCGTATGACTTACTCTAGTCTTGCGCGGATGCAAGGTGGCACTAAATGCCTCATCCATTTCAGATAATCGCTTTGTTAGAACCTGCACTTGACGGTCTGGCTCTAGGATGTCATCCTTCGAACCAATGTAACTATTTGTTTTTACACTGCTCTTGGAGCGTAAATAGTGAAAACATTGCACGCGAACTTCCAGATGTAGCACCAGTAGGCACGTATTGGCGAGCTCATCGAATTCTAATGCCAAATTAGTCATTACTTTAATGGTACCATCCTTAATGGCCACATTTGAAGCGCATTCAGCAGACACGGCATTCAATCCGTTCACCAAGGGACGACGAAGCTCGTTGGCAAACTCAGAAACACGACTGGAGAACCATTCCATGCTCTCTTGCAGTATAGCCAACTCTTTGAGGACACTTATATCGGCTAATATCTCTTGCTGTGTAATGCCACCCTCGCCTAAATTGCTGGTAAGCATCTCAGCTTCCCGGATATTACGTTGTTGCACCTGCAATGGGCTCTCTTCTTCTGATGGCTCAAAATTGCTTCGTTGTAGTTTTTTGCTGTGCTTGGCCCGTTGACTTGAACTCTTAAGATCAGTCCAATTCGGCAGTGTTCTGCAGCAGTCCAAAATAGGTTAATACGAGATTAATAAAATAATTGATTTGCTTACTTTAAAAATCGACTAATATCTTCATCCTTCAACCACGCCACACTGTAGATACGCTTGTCTTCTGAATCGGGCTGGACAATACCTCGATAAGCCGCTTGGCAAATCTCGCGATACGTTTTAAGCAGAGAACACACCATCTTCAGTAGTTCTTCTGAATAACAAGGCAAGTCTTGTATTAAAGTTTTTGTCTCGATCAAACGGCGTTCCACCATAACAGTAGATTGCAACAATGGTCTGCTCAAGTTGAAGGTTTTCATCTCTTCAGGGGTTATAATAGTGCGCCAGGCGTCTTGGTTCTTGGATAATGACTCAATTGTCAGCTGCAAGTTTCGATTGTGACCCTTGGAGAGGAATGTGTCCTTAATATAGTTGTCAACAAAGTCATGTAAACTGCATGGATGCCTGAAAAATATACAGTCAATATGACTATATATAGAGAATACAAAACCAGACATGAAGTTCACTTACCCAGGCTTACATTTCATAAAGTTCTCAATCTCTTGTATATAACCCATCAATGGCAAATATACTTTGGTTATAACATTCTGATCCGGGGTGCAAATTAACACCTTTTCGCGCTGCTTTTTTTCATGAGGAAGCAATCCGGTCGCCGAGCCCTTACCACTGCCAGCGGGACCGCCTAAGGTGGCTACTAAATTATCATCCATCGATGCGTCAGAAGCATTACGTCTGTGTTGCTTATAAGGCTCTTGAGTGTTGGCATTGCTTGGTGTATGGGAGGACTTGTCAAATTTAAACATGGTCTTTTTCGTGCTTTTAAAAGAAACAAAAAGCTCTAGATAATTGTTGGACATTGATTTGATAACGGAATATAATTTGTGCTTTAAGGAATTAAATTAAATGTACATATTACGCACCAACGAATTATTACATTAACACGTTGCCTTCGTGATGGCACAGTTAACAATTGGTTTAAAAAAGTAATAGAAATTGCATTTTTTTTGTAAGGTGCAATTGAATGTAAAACTCACCTCGGAACTTTGCGCCTTAGGAAGTACGAATTTATATTGTTCGTTGGCTCGGCGAAACTAGACTGTGCATTCTCGTCGGACGCGGTGTTTTGTATATCCAAGTAGTCAGTGAGCAAAAGTTGCAACTGTAATGAGGTCACTTTAAATGATAATCCCCAAAGGTATTTATATTATTTACTTACAACCGACTGTGCCTGGGCCCAAAAATCAGTCAAATCGTAGGGTTGGGGTCCAACTACGGTATATTTTTGCGCCACTGCCAAATAATTTTTAAGAAGAAGAGCATGGGTCTTTGCAATGGCCTTCAATTGTTTAAAAATGATCTCTAACAGCATTAGCAAAGGATTGGACTCGCCAGCAATATCCTTAACCGCACCATTAGCCGACAACTGATGTGTGGTGTTTTGTACAACATTTAAAAGTTCCGTTTGGATCTGCACACGCAACGTTTCCAAGGAATCTGGTACCTTGTGCAACATACCGAAGCATTCAACAATAATTGCAATGAAATAGTTCATGCTTAGTTCTGGGTCAATAAGATCGGTATCTTCGATTATCTCAGCTTTATCTAAATCGAAACCTTGGGCCATTTCGGTCAGAGCTTTGCGCACACGTGCATTGGCTTCGATGCGATCCGTGGAGCGTCGCGCTCCAATGCCACGCGTAAAGCTGGAGTTCAGGCGACTCGAATTGGTGCGTTGGAACGTAGATAATGCTTCATTGGCCGAATTTTTATACACCTGTGTAACAAGTTCTTCGTGCAGTCGCTGATACAATTGTTGACGGCGCGTTTGTAAATCGGCCCTCAAATCGGTAAGGCCCTCAACACCTTGTAATGGTCCATTAAGAGTGGCAAGAGCATCGGTAAGTGCTTTGCTTGCATGTAAATATTGACGCTTGGCCGTGTAGCTGACCACACGTTGAGGCACTTTGCGCAGCTCCTGACTGAAATGAAATGCTCATAAATTGTATGTTCACTTGATGCCTGGTATCTTACATTTGCTCCAGCATTTCCAACAAATACTTATGCTGCACTGCATCCGTCCACATTTTTTTGAGCTCATCGCGTCGACATTGGAGCAACCGTTTGCAGGCGCCGAGGTTCTCCTTTACCGCATGTATGCGCTCACGGCTGGCTGTCACCTCCGTGGACACTTGACTGAAGAGGGGCAATACTTGGGTGAGCTGCTGGTCATGTCGAGAGACCAATTCGTTTAGACGCTGATCTGAGCACTTAAATTCGTGTTCAATTTTCAATTTCTCCTTTTGACGCTCCTCTGTTGTTTCGCTGAAGCCAAGGGATTTGATGACATTGACAAGAAACCCACATCCTGCAGACTGTGGTTCAAGAGAAGTGTCACCAATTATAATTATGTTATTATCGACAACAGAATGAGGGCGGACGCACAACAACAAGCACAGAAACAACAACATACAGTTGCTGCAGTCATCGCACTTGTGTCGTCATCACACACGCAATACAAATTTTCGCACAAAACATTTCTTTTAGATTGTGAATTGAACTAAAATTTATTCGACTTGATAAATTTACAAATTCATTTTAGACTTGAAGATTATCGCTTGAAAAGCGTTTTAAGATTTGGCTTGAAATTCATATTTACGTCTTCTTTTCCGTATTTGACACCGCGCGGCGGCTTTGTCGGTGGCGGCGCATCCATGTATATACGATTAAAGGAGAATGTCTGTGGAACTGATGAAACACAATAAATTAACTTAATTTGTTAGCAACATTAAATCCGGCCCCTTTTGTGCTGTGCCGTGGGCTTCCTCTTCTTTTATAAAAACATATCGATATTCATCGACATATCGATAATTTCCTTTGTGTGTTGGAAAGCGATAAACTACCATAGTACACTGAAAGCTGACTGCAACGACACTGCGGTGCAAACAAATTTGGCTGTATTGTGTTTGAATAAGTTTTGCCGTACTCTGTTGTAATCAAATGAAGCAAGCATGTGTATAGTTTTGTTTTTAAACTTTATTACGTAACGGTTTTGCTGTAGCTATAGTTAAAGTGCTCGGCTATGCATTTATACTTTAAATACTTTACTTGCTCAAAAAGCTTTTGGCATATGCAATTTCAAAAGCTGAACTACTAATTTTTTTGGTTTTTTTAATTGCTTACGTTTTCAATGGATTACTTTTATAAGAGTCATTAGCTGTGCTTTTTTGTAATGTTTTATAAATATTTTTCAAATATGCAGCGTATTGCTGTGGTGCTTTCGACTTATTTTATATAAAATTCGTAAGTATACATATATTTTTATGAATTGTTTTTAAAAGATCATAAAATCTTCGTAAAATTACAAAACTAGTTGAAATGAATGTAAAATGGGAGTCACAATGAGTTTCACTTTTGTTGGTGCTACCAGTTATGTTTGATTTAGGTACAGTTTACCAATCGGAGGTATTACAATAATGATTGTTGTATATTTTTTTTTAGCATATGATACGTGTATGTGTACATAAATGTGACTAAGATTATTACAGTGGAAGTTGATATGATCATTTTTTGTTTTTTTTTTATAGGTGGGTCTTTGGGGTTTACACAATATAATGAATTAACTGCATACACACATTTTTATGTTCATCGTTGCAATTCTTCATTTGCTTGACAATAAAGCAAATTCAATTTATATATTTATATTCGAATAAATTTGGCCGATGGTTAGCGAAAACTTTGGTTAAATAAGTATACTATATGTGTTGCTTTTGTTTTTTGTCAGTTAACTTCAAAATTGTTCTCATATTCGATTGCTTAGCATGATTGCATCATGATTAATGCTCTGTATCTAGAGAGTTCACAAAAGTTTTGGATTGTTTTCCTTGTAATGTTTGGCTTTTGCAGTTTTCACAAATCACTAAGACTAAATGTACATATTTCACTAAGTAATTTAAATTTAAATAAGCATTTATAAGCTTATGCGCACTACCAATTTAATTAATTACTGCTGTTCTTTGCTGTATGCGTGTAAATTGAATTATTCGATTACTCCTTTTTAGGCCACTCACTGGTCATAATGCTGAGTCGGCGTATATTTGGCTTATCGTAGTCCTCCATTGAAATTCCCCGCGAAAGACGACGTCCACCATTAGCACCCTCAAAGGAGCCCGAGCTGGCAGTAGAATAGGCCCGTCCACGGTCCACTCCAGGCATAACCACCGATGTGAGCAGTCCCTGGCCCTTACAGAAAAGTAATATAGATTGTGCCACCTTGCCAGGCTGAGCAAACGAAGCAGAATGTGTAAAATAATTGTGAGTGTGACAAAGAGTTAAAAAAAAAACAAATGACTTACAGCATCGGCCAAAACATCGCCAGCTCGTTCAATTTTTAACATTGTCACTCTCTCCTTCTCAACATCGCGGTGCAGCTTCTCCACCATCGAAGCATAAGGACTAAGCATGCCGGTAATCAGGATAACATCAACTTTGCAACCTTTGAGGGTCAGGTCCTTGCGACTGAAAAAGAAATACAATTTTTAATTTGGAATGCTGACACGGCAATCCGTTAGCTACTTACTTCATAAACGCCTTTACATATAGACCCACATTTTTGCTGTTCAGTGAGCGATGCAAACGCTTCTGATACTCGGCAACAATTTTGTCCTTGTCTGGGTTCTCCCCAATGATTTGCTAGAGTTTGTGTGTATTGTTACGTGTGAGTGGAGTGTAAGTGAAGTAAATTTTATAAAATCAATATTAGTATGCGCTAGTTAGAATCATATTTCCAAAGCGAAAAGCAAAGCAACTATTAATACAGACATGCGGATACGGATATCACAAAATTACTGTAGGCATGCAATAACAAAATGACCAAACTGTTTGCGATATTGACACGTTCAAGGATCGATTTGTATTTGTTTTGGAGCTTGCTTTGAATTTGAGGAACGCTTTATACCAATTGTTGCCTGACAATGAGGGTGAACTACGTACCGAACGCTAAAAGAAAAATAATAATATTAGGAATCAAATAAATATATAGCATGCTTAGAATTCTAGCACAAAAAAACTCTGTTCTAATTAGCTAATCTGGTAAAATGATCAAAGTTTGGACAATATTAGAATTTTGAGTTTGCGGCGCCGAAGCATATTGCTAGAAGGGGAGCCAAATGAATGAATTACAATAAAGAAACAAATTGAAAAAGTTAGCAGTCAATGCTACTAGCATTGATGGGATAGGGGTGAATAGGAGAATAGTAGCAAAAGGAAATGCTTTATGAGTTTTAAAATATTTTTCAAAAAACCAGTTTACCTCCATGACCTTTGTTAAGAATTTACAAACGCACCGCGCAACACCCACAAGGGGAATGGATCAGTTAATATATCGAAATTGAAATAAGAATTCCAAAAGAACATAAAATAGACAAAAATTTTAAAAAAGTAAAGTACATTTAGATCATCAACCAATCAACCAACATACACACACACATACATCACATACAAATACACGAAAACACGCACAGTGGAGCGCGTCATTTTTCCTTTTTCGTCTACTTACATGTCCAAATTTGTGATACATTAAGAAGCTTTCAGCCGACTGAGCTACCTCATCGCTCTTCCAGCTAATGAACTGTAAATGACCCACAAAAATCATGATATTATAATATGGAAATATGTGTGGATACCCACCTTGTTCTTGAACGATTGGAGAACACTGGCAGCACTGCCGGTAGCATTGATCAGTATCAGGCCGAGGGCACGGCTTGGGTGTGCCAAGCCGAAGCGTGCCAACACATTGGCGCCGGCACCCTCCCCCAAACCAATCACGTACTTCACATGCAGATAGTCTAGAACCGTGACCAAGTCCTCGCCAAGAGTCTGCAACGATGGGAACGGAAAGCTATCCGGCAACGCATCGGCGTTGTCCGCATGTCCGGGCACAATGCAGTGTATGAAGCAGGATCTCTCCTTGATCTCTGTCATACAGGGGCTGTTAACAAACTCCTGGAAGGAGTTGTCTGCAAATAAGGGAAATTTATATATGTATTTAGCTTCAACTTATATTTATAAGTAATTGACCGGGATGACGAGATAATTGCTAATGTCTATGCGTTTGCGCATCTAAGTGTCTGATAGAATTTGATTTTGTAGCTCACTTATTATAACTCTATTTGTTGTTCCTATTATTTAAGTTACGTATAAACCAATAATCGAATTCTTAGACATAATGGACAATATTTTGTATTTCAAACAAATTAAAGATTAAGGATTAAGATTAAGGATTAAATCAAAATATTCTAATAAAATCTATGAGGTTTCTTTAAGCAATGAATTATTTACAAGAAAATTCGCTTTTTTATGAACAAAATTTATCTTCCTGAAATAAGTGCACCATTTTTTAAAAATTATATATTTAAATTTCCAAAAAAATAATAAGTTTATTTTTAAAACTATATTATTCAATTTAAAAAAAAGTTTATTTTTTGAATTATATTTTAAAAATTCTTTAAATACATGAATACATTCTTTTCAATGAACATATTTTTTACCCCTACCCACTTTTAACTGCTTTCTTATAAATATTTTAAATAATTAAAAAATTGTAAACAGCAGCAATTATTTTTCTAAAAATTAGGGAAACATTTTCATTTTTTGCTCGTAATATTTAAAATGGCGTTGGTTTTACATCCAAATATTTTGTGGATACATTTTTTTGTGTCTGATAGGAAATACTTTTGTTGTAAACATTTTTAAATACTCACGATTACAGCCTAAATCGTGCACGGTTATAAAAACAGCTCGTTTCTCCTGCTGCGATAGATCTCCCTGTTGGGTTTAAATATATAAAATGAACAGAAAAGTATTTTAAAAAGTGTCCGCTCCGTAATGTATGCTGACTTTTTTCTCACCTGCACGATGACAGTAAGATCTCCGCTCTTTTCAGTGCTTATGTTGTATTTCTGTGAATTAAAGATATGCGACATATGCGTACATAAAATTAAATAATTATCAAAACCAAATTATGCAATGCTGACAGCAAGGTTAATTCCTTTTTATATACAGCTAGCAGCACAAAAGTTTGAAAAAATAATTTCACGTATTCATTAAGGTAAACTCAAGCGTGAAATGAGTCGGCATGAAATGACCAAAAATGTGAGTGAGCCCATGCCCTATATTTGTCTGTATATTTGTGTGTTGAAATTATATTTAAATTTAACTGCCGCATGTTTTGTTCATTACTTTCGTGTAATACTTTCCTGTTTCTTAATATTGAAAGTGCATTTACTGTCGCACCATTTCTGTAGCTTTTAATACATATAAGTAAATACCTAGATTTCCATGAAAATGCGGGAGTGGCTTTTCCCTCTACCTTAGTCACTTATTAAAGCGTTAGGCTCAAATCCTATAAGCTGAGAGTCCCACCCACAAGCCCAAGCCAGTCGAACCATTGGCAATGTTTTTAGCATCCTTTGGGCCTTCACGCTCCCACAAAACACTTATTGAAATTGAACGAAACTATAAAAGTGTCAAAAGACCAGAGGCAATAACAGCCCCAGCCCCCCAGCCAGCCAGCTCAGTTCGAGCCCATCAATATCTGTCGGTCTGTCGTTTTGTCTGCTGTAAGCTCTTTAATGTACCTTTTCTTCGGTCTTGGGGGTTGTGTAAGTAAATAAATAAAGTATTATGTAAATGTAACGTAAACATTTCACAGCATTGTGTAGCCCCCGACCTACAATGAGCCTACATTATCCATTATCCAACATTGTCGCCACCTACATACATATATAAATACATATATATGTACATAAATAAATACAATGTTACCGTTACTGATAAAGCAATTGTAAATATAACATCGCTGTGTGTGTGCAAAAAATGAAATTTCGTCATTAAATTTGAAACGTAAATAAATCATATTATTTTTATATTCATAATAATTCGCTTTGTTGCGCCATAAGTCGCTGCTGCTCGCACCGTTAACGTGGCCAAATTTACATAACAAGCCAATAAAACAAACAAAGCCCCAAGCTGGATTCAATGCAGCTTGTCGTTAACTGCACATAATGGTTGACTGGCTGCCTGCCTCGCTGGGACTCTTGTGGGCTGATGGGTGGGTTGTGGAATGGCCCCAACCGCTCATTGTTATTGCAGCTGTTCGGATATAGGAGTACAGGCAGCAGCATGCTGAGGGCTCCGAGTAGGGGCACGGCATTCAAGAGTAATTGCAAAACAAACAACAACATCGAAAATGCAGCACATTGTCGTCACAAATCAATTGCCATTAATTGAGTGTGTGAGCGCAAATTTGCGAGCAACGACAACTGGCAGCTGAAAAAGGCATTAGCTGAGGGTGTCGCACAGCTTAACCATACATATATATGTATGTGTATAATTAATTTAGGAATGCCGGATCGAGGTCAATTAAGTTATTAAATTTTAGTAAACACAAAAAAGCATACACAATGTTTGGTTATGGCTGAGTTAAAAACCAATTTATATTTTTATATCGTCAACTATCTTTTGGCAAATAATTTGTTTAAATCCGAGTCGCACACAGAAACGTATATAAGGTAAAAATTTCGAAATGCTGATTTGCTTAATTTTTAGTCAAGCTTAAATAAATCAGTATAAACTTTTCTTGATTTTGTTGACCTACAAACTTTTGACTTATGGAAAATTATTCTGGTGCTAGTAAGAGTGGGGAGAGATTTAGGGTCCTCCTTACCTTATCCTGTCTATTATGCAGTTACGAGTTACGTATACAAATCAGAAAGCCTCATTGCTAAGCTAAACTAAACCAATTAGACCACGCATGGCCTTTCACCATTTGAGTGCAGGATATAATAGAGTTAAACAGCTCCTTTCTCTAAACAGATTTTCACAGTTGTTCTGGAAATACTATATGTTACTTATTTTCTATGTGTGTTTGTACATGGTCGAAAGCTGTTGTCTTGACACATATAAACCGAATTTTCATTGCGTGTCAGCTGAGGGAAATGCCATCAACAGGCCACCACATTTCTCACACGTGAATGCACAGAAATAAAAATAAGCGCTTATAAATAATGGAATTGCCCATAAACTGCAGGATGATGAATGCGTTTCCACTTTCTGCCTGCCTGCCTGCCCCTTTAAAAGTATCCAATGCTTTCCTCAGATGGCCGTAGCAGTTGCCGACAGCTGTCAGGCTAGTGCAGAGGTTGACGGCGCATTGATGACATGATTGATTGGCGAATGAATGCTGCATTTGTTGGGTTGTCGCAGGCAGTAAGCACATGGATAGAGCACGTTCAAGTATTTGTACAATCACCTACGGGTCGTATACGTAACGAGAACAAGAAAAACTTTTACTGGCAGTCAAGTTTTTACGCTCTTGGCATTTGTGCTATGGCTATTGTTGTCCGAGCAATTGTTTGTTTGCCTTTTTCGACTTGCGTCAACTATTTTGCCTCAAGTTCTGTTATGTGTGTGTGTGTGTGTGCGTGTGTGTTTTTGTTACTGTTGATGTGTTATTTTGTTTTATTGTGCCCCTCTTCCAGCATGCCAACCAGAACTAGTCAATTAAAAGGCACTTGGTTCAATCGCTTGATTTACAGACCCACTCGCGCATTTTGTTCATACATACATAAATATATACAAATGTTAGAAACAATTGCAATGCTAGTTAAAGTTTGTTTTTATTGTATGTGCTCTTCCATTCGCGTACTTTTAATTGGCCATTCAATGAGTTTGAATGATGTACTTGTGTAATTGAGATATACTGATGGGGGGCTAGCAAATATTTAAGCATATTTTAATTTTCAGTTGAGCAATGTGACAATATAGTATGCGAGGCGTGTGAACTTGCAAAGTTTTTACATTATTGTCCAAATTAGGCAGCTCTGTGTAACACCCCGAAAAGTATGCTAGCGAAAATTGTAAGCTGAAGACCAAACATGTCTGTCCAAGGATAAAGTTTACCTTTGAATTAAAATAATATTTTGCATTACATACTTTATTAATTGTTAGCAATTTTGTTTTTAAAAAAAAGTTTCTTTATTATGGCGTAAATTTTCCATCAAGTTTCTCTATAGAAACGGTTTTGGCGGAGCAACATATTCTGTATTCTTGATTGATCAGGTTCAAGAAAGTTTTTCAACAGCTTATTAAGCCACAATAAGACGTAGTTATCTTGTATCAATTGAGGATTCTCGGTAGCCCAATCCAGACACAAATTTTTTACGTCCCTCATGATTTTTGTGACAACAATTGTGAATGCACTTTCTGATCTCGCCGCTTTTCTCTTAATTGTATAGATAATAATGCAACTTTTTTTTGCAGGGTATAATGAGTGGCAGGATACAAAAAATTTATTAAATTTGATACGTACAGAGCAAAAAAAAAACCTCGACATGAATTGCATTTTCATGTTCGTAAAGTTTGTGTTGGCTTTTGGTGTCCACTTCCGATGTGTGTCTGTTGTGGTTGCGGAAAGCTTTCCAGCTCTAAATATTGCTTTACATTTGATGGTGATGCTTCTGCCTGCAACTAGGGGAGGGGGTTGCTGCAACGGCAATCTCTGATGTGCATCAATGAATTGCAAACATCCATAAAAGTGTATCAGTCGGTCATGCGATATGTGTGGGTTGGTAGGTGAGGACATAGGTTGAGGCATTGCCCTCCAGCGCTGTGCACAAAAAACACACACACATACATACATACATATGTACATTTATCAGGGCAGCTAAAAGCTTCAGTGCGGCGGCGGATAGTAAGCGGTGGGTGGTAGGTGGGTGTGAAGCTGTATACGTGTTAACTCATTGACCTCGTTATTGTTGCTGTTACTTGCTGTTCTAGATGCTGCTAATGCTGCCGTTGATTTCGTTGCCAGCATCCAGTTACTCTCATATATATCTGTACATAGTTATGTACTGTATGTATTTTCGCAGGCGTTATAGCCAACTTCCCGACTGCCCCACAACTACTAGAACTTTTGGTTCTCTACCGCAAAGTAAAATTTGTTGTGCCCGCCAACGTTGCTTTAATGTCGTAAGCACGTCGATCCGTCCTAAGTGCTTCTTATACATGCATACATACATATGGTACATTTGTACGGATGTACTATATACACCAACTTATAATACTGTATGTAGTTTGGTTATGGGTTGTTTGTTTGTGGGTTCCCGCCATATTTTGATATTATTCCCCTTGCAGCTGGCTGTCAGTCAATCGCAGCCTCGATGTGGCTAGTAAATTCAAATTTCGCACTTCACTCTGCTTTTCGTGTTCTAATTATAAGGAACTCTACTCTAATCAATCCCCTAGTAACTTAAGCAGGAACATCTCCCTACATTTAACTAACCAGCATTAATTACACATGCACTAATGCAATACTAATCACCCCATGTGAGTCGGGGCACATCGGGGCACTTGAATACCCCTTTTAGATTAATTTAGTAGCACTTCACTCTGCTTCTCGTGTTCTAATTATAAGGAACTCTACCGTATAATTTCGTCTAATCAATCCCCTAGTAACTTAAGTAGGAACATCTCTCTACATTAAACTAAGCAGCATTAATTACACATGCACTAATGCAATACTAATCACTCGCTGCGAGTCGGGGCACATCGGGGCACTTGAATACCCCTTTTAGATTAATTTAGTATATATTCAATTCTGCTTTTTTTTAATGTTATGCGTTGTATTCTTTGTTTACAAAATGGCAGTATTATTTGCTATTGATTTCAAATTAAATTTTAAAAAATGTTTTTAGTAGTATTTTAGATATACAAGCAACTAACTGTAAAACATGTACAATAAAGAATACCAAAAAAAAAAACTGAAAATATCAAAATTGCAATTAGTTAATCGCCATCGATAGGCAACATTATTTGAAATCACAATCAAACATCGGCAATCAAGAAATTATTTGGGAGCGGCTCTGTATTTTATAATCGTTATCGACCTACATGTAATATA